CGCTGGTGAAAGGGAAAAAAATGTCATCTCTCGGGCAGGGCCTTGTTCCTCAAATCTGATAGAAAGGCAAGTCTGCAACGGAATCAGACAAATGGTGTTTTAAAGGAAGGCTCGAGAAAATGGTGCTTTTAACAAAGAATTATACACTTTATATACAGAAAGAACAAATCGCCGGTCAAATAACAATCTCACCCCGCGGAAATCTCAAGGACATATTGCTTGGATAAGAGCTTTGGTCTTCATTTTGTACAAAGAATACCCTCCGAACTTGTGAAGAAACGAATCCGCAACGGAATCAGACAACTGGTGTTTAAACGGTTGGCTGGAGAAAATAGCGCATTTTTATCAAAAACAAATCGCTTGTCTAAAAAATGAACATGCCTCGCGGAAATTTCCCGGAAATATTGCTTGGGTTAGGGCTTTTAGGTGAAAGAATGAGGGAATGTAAGAAAACTCAAACAACCCACGGTGATAGGCATTATCGATAGTTCTTATCGCAATATACTGTGATAGCCTCAAGGAATGAAGTAAAAACTCACAAAACCCACGGTGATAGGAATTTAAGATAGTTCATATTACATGTTAACCCACAGTGTTAGCCTGAGGGATTGAAGTAAAGTTTGAACAAGGTCGGTTTGCAGAGGGTTCTTATTGCAAGTAAACTCGTGGTGATAGACCTTTAAGAGGTTTTATATTGCAAGCAAACTCACGAGAATAGCCGGAAGGAATGCAGTAAATCTCACACAGCAAACATTTGATATGCCTTTTTGAGGGTTCTTATTGCAAGAAGGTTTTCATCGCATATGAACATTCCAAGATATCATAAGGGAATGCAATAAACCTCACTGAGCCCACGGTGATAGGATTTTTAGAGGGTTCTTATCGCACATGAACCCCATGGTGATATCCTGAGGGAGTTCAGTCAAGCTCACACAACGCCGCGATGAAAGCATTTCTAGAAGGTTTTTATCGCATAAACCTTGGTGATAAACTGAGGGAATACTGTAAAAACTCTCGTCAACTATGGTGATAAGCCCTTTAAAGTGTTCTTAACGAAAGTAAAGCCCAAATAGTAGCTTGAGAAAATGCGGTAAATCTCACACAACCCACTGTGGTCGGCCCTTTAGAGGGTTCTTATCGCAAGTAAACTCACAGTGATGGAATGCTGTAAATCTCAGAAAACCCTTGGATGATCGGCCTTTTAGAGGGTTCATAACGCAGAAAAGTTCATACAACCCTCGGTAAGAAGCCTTTAAGACTGTTCTTATCGCAACTTTGCAAGTAAGTTGACGGTTATAGCATAAAGGGATGCAGGAACGGCCGCTCAACCCAATGTTATAGGCCCTTTGGAGGGTTATTATCGCAAGGACCCTCTGTGATAGCATTAGGAAATGCAGTAAACCACATTCAACCAACGGTAAAAGGCTTTGTTGAGGATTCCCAAGAGAACACATATATAGCCTCAAAAAATGCAGTAAATTTCCACAACCCCACTGATAGGCGTTAAAGAGCGTTTCTATCACGAGTGAACGCACAGTAATAGCCACAAGGAATACAGTTAATCATTTTAAATGCCTATCACCCATGGTTGTTTGCGCTTGACTGCTTTCCATTTTGCTTTCACCGCGGGTTTACTTGCGATAAGAGACCCTCTATTAGGCCTCACACCGTGGGTTGCTTTACCTGTACCGCATTCCCTTAGGTTATCACCGTGGGATAAAAAAGCCTTTCACCATTGGTTGTGTGTCGTTAACTGCATTCGTTGAGGTTTAACCTTGGGTTTACTTGCCACAAGGAACACTCTTTGAGGTCTCTTACCGTGGGTTGTCTTAACTTTCCCCTAGGTTATCACCGTGGGTTTACTTGCGATAAGTGGGTAAATTTTCGATTAGTACACTGTTGAATTTTATAAATGGAATTGACCAGCTTCTATTTATTGAAATGCCATTATCAATTTTGGGAAAATCAAGATGAAAAATTAAAGTTAGTCAGCCAGACTGCACAAAACAAATGCTTATCACATTAAGGCCAGGTAGGTTAAGGTTTAAATAATACATTGTGCCAATATATAATTGTTTTTATCCATTACTAATATGACATTTATCCATTTTTGTTCGTAGGTGTCCTAGGAATAGAACAGTTTGAGCTTGGTCATGACAATGGAGGCTCCCAAGATCAGTCAAGAATCATGTAATTAGTTTCTTTTACAAATACTTGTATGCTTAGATAGATTCTTATTTCGACACACTGTCATTTCTGATTTAATATCCGTTTGTTTTGTTTTAAAGTAGGACTTAGCCACCAATTCTTTTGGTGTATATTACACGTTCCTAGTAAGTACGAGGGTTGTCCGGAAAGTTCATATACATGTTTCTTCATTTTTTACTCTAAAACAACACATACGTTTTCAAATTTTGCAAGTAAAATTATACACATCTAACAAACACATTTACTTAATTGCTGACAACTCTATAAAAAGTCTTTACATACAACATAATTATATACATTGTAACTGAACATTTTGACAACATCGTATGTTTGTTTTGGCTTAACAAGGTAACTAGGACATTGTGCAGTGTAATGCTTGTGATATTTCTTTTAAAATATTTAGAAATACATGTTATTCAAAATTTTACGATATTTAAGTATGATGATTTTTTTCTTCTTATTTTGTGTGACATTTTCATGTACATGTATATTTCAGATTAATGGCTTATCATGATGATATTTACACGAAGCTGACTCCAGAAACATAGAAAGCGTAATTATGTTGTATTTCACAACTTTCTTTTTAAATCATAATATACGTGCATTATACGTCTAGGAAAATTCAATAACTTATTGAAAATTATAAGTAAAGCGTTGTACATTTTAAATATGGTGTTAATTAGGGATGGCAACTAGTACTGTTATAGTTCTCGTACTCGGTCATTCCTCCAATCAAGTACTCGCTTACTAGGAAGGTGTCTAAGGGCTTTTGAAATGTATAATAATTTTCAATTTATCTTCCATAACTGTCAAACCTGTCCTGAGAACAAAAGCAATAATTCTTATATAAGAATGACGGCGTCAACGATCCATTTAATTCATACTTTCGTGGCTATTACAAGAAATGTGATGGATTACCTTAAAATAAACAAACAGGTTATTTCATAATGTCAAATGTGACTTTTAAGCATTTATACTATTTTTTGAATTTATCATTATGTAAACACCTTTGTTTAAAAGACCGGTGTTAACATTTCAACTTCTTGAATGCCGAATTTTTACTTCACGAATTCACGATTTCAACTTCACGAATTCGCGATTTAAAATTCACGAATTCACGAATTCACGATTTTATCTTCACTATTTCAACTTCATGTATTCACGATTTCAACTTCATGAATTCACGATTTCAAATACAAAAATTCACGATTTCAACTTCATGAAGTTGTGTTTCAAGTTTTCTTTCCTTTCAGGGGGACTGTTGCTGGCATAGAAAAGTGAAACTGATCATTTGGCAAAAAAGAATGCAGATGCCATGGCAACGCACAACATCCCGTTAGTATTTGTATTGCAGTTCTAAAAAGAACAGTTAAAGCGTGTCGACGTCTTACGTTTATATGTTTTGACGTTTCTTACTTTAAAGGAACTACACTGAGGTTCAAACGTATAATAACATAAAACTTGAATTTCTTACAAAGATTAGCTGGGGCAATTAAAACAGAAAAAATGTACAAAAGAATAACTAGAAATTTTCTACTTTAAGCCCGTTTTGCGTTGCAACGCTTTACAATTTAGGTAAATTTTTCACAATTAGAATAATTATTCTAGGAAATCGGAGTGAGCGAATGATCTGTGTTTGAGTACTGTGACTGTTAAAATGTTTTACCGGAGTTTCTTTTCATTTTAAGATTTATGCTTCTTTTCCATGTTTCTTTGAAATGTTTTATTTCACTACATCATTTTTGTTACTGTTTCTATGTCACTGAATAAGTGAATAAAAAACTAACAATTAAACGAAATGAGCTCTTCGGATAATTTTGAACTTTATGTTCATATACTAGATGTGCCTTCTTTGTACACTTGGCATTAGTAGATAAAGTGGTGAAGGGGGTGGGTATAAAGTTTAAATGTGGTATTGGACACAGCAGTCAGTGGTTCGATTTTATTTTCAATGTGATCATACCCAATTAATTTCTAACATATGATACTCTTTGTAACGCCGTTAATATTCAACCGAACATAAAGAATAATGAACTTAAAAGTAGGTGTTATTTTTTAAGATTAATAAACCAAAGGGCGAGTTTATTTGTAAGAAAGTCGTTGTGACGTCAGGAGCTTGGATAAATCACGTGGTTGGATCTGTCGGCGTTCATGTCCATATTTACGTCACACAAGAACAGGTGACGTATTTGGCGACGACACACTTGAAATAATATGTAAAAGACAACTAAGTGATGATTTAGAATATATGAAAAAATGAATAAACAAGAAACTGATATGGACGAAGGCAAAATTAGCTGTAACAAAGTGTATGTGAATTTTCACTCATTCTTAACCTGCTGAATTCATGCAACTTTTGCCCAGTTTGAATTTTGTAAAATTTATTGGCAAATGTAAGTGAATTTTAAATATCTTAATTATACCAAATTGAGTTACCAGCAGTAAAGAGCTTTGTCAGATTGACCTGATGTGCAGACGAGTCTGTTTCTACACTGGTGGAGAAGGCTGATCACTCCCGGTTTCGGCAGAAACTAAAATAATGTCGTGCTCAGTCTGTTTTCGTGAGAAATGCATTCTTGGATCAAATTGTTGACATGCCACATTCTTCTGAAGTTAATCCTCAAAGCATACAAATGTTCAATTGTTAAATGTTATGTTGCAAGTTAAATTCGACATGTTATTTAAATGCGTATGACGTATTATTTCAACATCCAAGTATAATTTGCAGAAGACATGATGTGAATAAACTAATTATTTCGTCAGCAGATTTCCAATATTCATCTTTCACTCTACAAAGCATTTACGGTATGCAAATTCATGGTAACATTGGGTTTAAGATTTGTGTTGACGCTGGGGGACCTTTTGTTACAGCAGAGTCGAGGACATTCACACCTGGTCTAGTCCGGGAAAACAACTGCATTAACTTTCCGAAGGAAGTGTTACCCACGGTGAGTTGTATATTATTTTTAGATATTTTGTTATATATCGTAGTATAAAACCAAGTATTAAAGGAACTCCGCGGAGGTAAAAAACCCTAAAAATATATAATTTTAAATTCTTACGTTTATCAAGAGAAACACGTAACATGAAATAAAACCCTGCAAAGGTTGATGGTGAAATATACTCGGAATAAAATTGAATATCGATTTTTGTGCGATTCCTAGCTCGATTTCAGTGAAAACTGCTCATTTTGCATTTCTTCTTGAAAAAACGGGGTGAGGGAATGTTCTGAAAGCTTGCAACAAGTCATTTGTCCAAACCTACAACGTTAACGGAAAAGTTTTTCCGGCCCGGTCATGTCAAATAACCTCAGTGGAGTCCCTTTAAGAGATGTTTTGAGTAGTTTACCACGTATGTCATGTGTATTGTATGATTTAAAACAGCCATTAAATATGGTAACAAATTCATACTAGCTGTCATGATTGTATGTATAACTGACACAGGTTTGCTGGTCTCCTGGGCAAGATCCTTAATTAAATGGCGATAGACGGAAAGACTCAATATGATATTTCACCTTTCACATTAGACAAGCAAGCTCTAAAAGACCCGGACTATAAACCGGTATTTTTCATGGGTACCGGAAACAAGTTGCCTGGTGGTGGCGAGAAGAAAGACAAGGCAAAACTGTAAAACAAACAAGACTAACATTGAATGTACAAAGCATTTAAAATAACCAGTGACTTATAAGACTTATCTTAATTAACAAACATAATATGTACATGTATGCATTGATGTGATATAAAATTAATCGGAAATAATGTAAAATTTCTTGACCAATGCGAACTATTTATATTTGAATATGTCACCTTAGTGCAGTTACGGGCTTACTCCTATTTAATTCAATAGCAGTTAGCTCTTTACTGCGCTATGTTGACGATTTGAATGTTCAAATAACATGTACAGCAAAGATATCGATCATTGTGGCGATTTTCCAAGGATATACTTGTTTTCGCATTCAAAGATGAATATGTGTTTATGAATACTGTGAATATTGCATAGTTTTACCGAGTTTTCTAATCATTTAAATCTAAGGATTTATTCTAACGTCCAGTGTTACTTTAAAATTGTTCGGCAGTTAGTTAATTTCTAGCATATTGAAATACGTCAATACATCTTTTGCTTGTTACTTTTCATTCTGTCACAGAATTAACAGAAATAAAATGAAATGAACTCTTATCAAAATTCTTATTAGTATATTAGATGTACTTTCTTTGTAAAATTAGTATTAACGGGTTGTGGTGCCATTAGGATATAATATTCAAATATTGCATTGGACGCTGCAATAAATGGTTCGATCTTATGGCTAATCACTTTCAAAAACGTGACACTTATTCATGTATAAAGGTTGTTATTTGACTAAACTTAGCATAATTAACTGAATGTATCTGTAACTTTTTTTAGATTAATACACCAAAGGGCGAATTTATTTGTAAGAAAGTCGTTATCACATCAGGAGCTTGGATTAATCACGTGGTTGGATCTGTCGGCGTTCACGTCCCTATTTACGTCACACAAGAACAGGTGACGTACTTGGCGACGTCACACATGAAAGAATACGTAAAAGACAAGTAAGTGATAATTTAGAATATATAAAAATATCAAAATTTAATTGAAATAAACAAGAAACTGATATAGATGCCGAGAAAATTAGCTGTAACCACGTGTTTGGAATTCTTAATTATCCTTTACCCGCTATACTCGTGCCATGGATTTTCACTGTTTGAATAAGGAAAAATCCCCACGAAAATTAATGGAATACGAAAATTGAGATACCAATAGTGTCAACCAGTCAGATTTCCCGGATGTGCAGGCTGGTCTGGCTCTATACTGGTGGAAAAGTCTAATCACTTCCGGTTCCGACAGAAATACAAATTATGTCGTGCTAAGTCTGTTTTCGTGTGTACATGCTAAGATCAAATTGTCACATTCTTCTTAAAGGGAGACGCAGGCAAAATTTTCTTTTCTTAGTTTTGAATTTTTCATTCATTATTCTGTAAATGTCCTCAAAATGAATATACTAGGCAGTCACAGGAACAGCTCTTTTCTCATTATAAAGTACTAAATGATGATTTTCTAACCTGACCCGCATGGGTCAGGTGTCACAATAGTTGTCACAGTGAACTTGAATGACTTAAACTTGTTTCAATCATACAATATCCACAGTATCTGTTATTGTAAGTTTCAGGGTTTGTTCAGGTCACAAAACTTGTTTTAAAACTACTCGGTGATTATGTTAGCTTTTAAATTGTGTTCAACATATATAAATATATTTACGCTTCGAACCCAAAATATAAAAAACTTTAATACAGAAATTCATGCCTTGATTTCAGTTCATAAGATCATTTAATATTTTTGTCATTACTTGCCTGAGTATCCCTTTAAATTAATCCTCAAAGCATAAAGATATTTAATTTTTAATGTTTTAAATTCGATGTATATTCAACAGCCAAATTTGCAGAATGAATATGAATGATATGAATAAAACTAATTATTTCGTCCGCAGATTTCCAATATTCATCTATCACTCTACAAAACACGACCTTTACGGTATGCCAATTCATGGTAATAGTGGGTTTAAGATTGGCGTAGACGCTGGGGGACCTTTCGTTACAGCAGAGTCGAGGACCTTTACACCTGACCCAGTCCGGGAAAATAACTGCATTGACTTTCTGAAGGAAGTGTTACCCACGGTGAGTTGTATACAATTTTAGTTATTTTGTTATATATCATATTGAACGTCAAAAGTATAAAAACTAATTAAGTATTAAAGGAACTCCGCTGAGGTCAAAACCCCTAAAAATATATAATTTTATATCCTTACGTATATCAAGTGGAACTCTTTAAATTAAAAAAAAATGCAAAGGTTGATGGTGAAATATTCTCGGAATAAATTTGAATATCGATTTTTTTTGTGTGCGATTCCTAGCTCGATTTCAGTAAAAAACGCTCATTTAAAAAAACAACGAAAAAACAAAAAGACTCTTCTGGGAAAACGCGTTGAAAGAATGTTCTGAAAGCTTGCACACAAATAATTGGTCCAAACCTTCATCAATATCGGAAAAGTTTTTCCAGTCCCATCATATCAGATAACCTAAGTGGAGTCCCTTTAAAAGATGTTTTGAATAAGTAGACCACGTATGTCATGTACATTTTATGATTTAAAACACTTGTTAAGGTGACAACGGAGTCAATTACCACTGAAAATACCTAAAATGAGATTTTTTGCTTAATAGATTTATCAACCTTTTCTGAACACATTCGTGATTACATTTTGGAAGCAGTTAGTCCAAAAAATGTGTTTTTAAACGTTTTAAAACCGTACATCTTTTATGAATATCGTCTACCTTTTTTTTTGGCATTTTTTATAAGATAAGAAATTGTCGACCAATGTACGTAGCATAATGTATGAAACATAAATAATTAAGCATAGCGGCAAATCGCACGACCACGGGGTTGATTAAAAATATAGTTGCTAAAATATCCATAATGTGTGAAAATAATTTGTCTGTCCCGTTAATCTGATAGATATTACATTGAGTTTATGGACTTTTGTACGGATTCAACGGCTTGCTTTACATTCAACCTCGTTTTCTAACAATGTCAAGTAAAACAACAACAAAAACAGACAACATTTTTTCTGTGAACGCTTATATGACTTGTGGTAAGATGTCCCTGACAAATTTCTAAACCATTTTAGATTGTTTAAGGATGATTATTTCTCTATGAATCAATAAAAAAAGATATTAATATATATTATCAGTGAATGCTTTGAATAAATTGTTCGCCAGTAAATCGAACACAGTACTAATTAATAAACCTGGGACAAAGTATGGAATTTATTGTATATCCCAGTAGAAACTGGATCTCTATGCCGTGCATAGATGATTTTCATGATAATAGAAGTCATGCAAGAAGGTCAGATCATAATTTTCGAGTGATACCTTTTATTTCTATTAAAATATGTGAAGCATTTATATCAATTTGGAGGGGAACAATATAATATCCCGTTCTTATTTGTACATCTACCATGGCCTTTAAAATACCGTCAGAAGCTCAGTTTTTTATTATTTTAATTTCTATTTTAACGGAATTTCATGTACGAATACACAGACAGAGTGACACTGGTATAATATAATAATAATGCTGATGATAATAATAAATAAACTTCAAAAGTGAAACAATTAAATACCCCGCTAGCGGTGCGCAAATACGTTCCATTTCCCCCACCGAGTGCCTCAAATTTTACCGAAAGTCACGTGACATGTGCGACCGATACCAGACGGACAGTAAATCACGTTAAGATTTGAAGAAATTTTTGTTATAAACTGATATTAATCAGCAACTTTTTAATTGGTCAGATGTCACTGGGTCATAAAATGTTGTTAGAGTATGTTACCGCAACCTGTGACCCTCTCTGGTGCGATATTTGTGTATTATGCAATTATTTAGTGTGAAACGTAGGGGTCCGAGAGAGAACAGCCGATTTATGACACTTCGTTTGATGAGGGTCGGACTAACTTTGAATCAGCATAACTTTTTTAATAATCAAGCAATTAACATGCGGTTTAAAGCACATGAAAGGGAATTCATTTACGGAGGGAACCGTGTCAGGGATTTTTGTTTGCTCAATCAGCGACTTAATTATCTTTAATTACGTAATATGTATGGTGAAAAAAGTCGCATAAAATGTTTGACGTTAAATAATATTTTTTTTAGAAAAGATAGAAACAATTTGAGACACGACTCCCCAGATATTATAAGTATGTTTATTTTCCAAATGTTTGATAACAAAAAAATAAAAAATGACTTTGATATGACGATTTAAAATTTTAGGATTTTTATTAAAAATCAATCATTTACAAAGGCATTTTTTTTCAAATATGTTATTTTTTATGATGATCAGCGACATTTAAAGCACAAAGATTAAATAAATAACAATTATTACTAAAATAAGTTGGTTTAAATGACATTTATGTGAGTACCACGGAAAGTGTCTGTTGTCACCTTAAATATGTAATGTAATGATAACGAGTTTCGTACTGGCTTCGTAATAGCTTCGGGCACGAGCGGATAAGCTAGTTATTCCATGGACCGTCTGAAAGCTAACTAATGTGAAAGATTCTGAAGAAGCTGGCGAGATCCAAGCCAACTAAAGTGAATGACAAAATTATTTGAAACCAATCAGCGACATTCGCCAATACGCTTCTTTATATATTACTCTATCATTATGCGTTGAATTGTTAATCCTGATCACGCTAAATATCTTAAATGAAATTTTTCCATCATAACCGTTCATTATTATTATTAACAAAATTTATTTGTAGTACTGAATATCAGTATAAGTACTGACTGAATAGCAAACAGTGTTGGCACTAGTGGGTAGATTCAAATAATGAAATTATATCGATATATTTTTTCAGTCTGTGGGACCTATTCTGTACAGTAAAACATGTTTGTATACGATGCCTCCCGACCGGAACTTCATCATCGACACATGTCACAGAACTGGTTTTGATGACGTCATCGTATGCAACGGCGCTGGGCATGCTTATAAGTAAGTAGTTAGGATCAGCCTAAATATTGCAGTGTTGTACTTAATAATTGTACAAAATAATTTAGTTGTAACACGATATCAACTCAGCTTTGCCTTATACATTTAAAAGGGCAGCATGTCATGAAAAATAGATTATTAAACATTTGTCGTCATCATACGTAATGTATACGTAAAAGCGTAGCTGACGACCCAGATTTCAGAACTATAACGATATACGATGGTGATAATAGTAAGAATGTCGTATAATATTAAACAAAATATATGAATAAAGTTGTTGCTGATTCAAGTTGATTGGTCTATAATGGTCATTTTTTTATCCAACATTTGATAAAACAATAAATATTTATCTTTCCTGTATTCTAATTAAATATTTCTTGAAAAAATGTCTTGATAAAGATTCAAGTGATCTGGTATGAAAATTTGTATGATGAATAATTTATTAAATAATATTTTGTCAAAGAATACTTAAGTGTCTGCTGAATATAGCATTGCCATATTGGACCATGTATCTCACACTAACCAACAACATCCATATATAGGTTTGCTGTCATGATTGTATGTATATCTGCCACAGGTTTGCTGGTCTACTGGGCAAGATCCTCAGTGAGATAGCGATAGACGGAAAGACTCAATATGATATTTCACCTTTCACATTAGACAGGGAGGCTCTAAAAGACCCGGACTATAAACCGGTATTTTTCATGGGTACCGGAAACAAGTTGCCTGGTGGTGGCGAGAAGAAAGACAAGGCAAAACTGTAAAACAAGACTTATATGAAATGTTCAAAGCATTGAAAATACCCAGTAACTTATAACACTTTTTAACGAACGTAATATGTATGCATTGGTGTGATATGAAATTAATCAGAAATAATGTTAAATTTCTTGACTTTTTATATTTAAAAGTGTCACCTTAGTACATATTAAATTCAATAGACGTTAGCCCTTTACTGCACTAAGTTGACTATTTTAGGGTTCAAATCACATGTACACTAAAGATATCGATCATTATGGCGATTTTCTAGGCACATACATTTGTGTATTATTTAAGACAGGGACAATATAATAAACAATATATATTTAATGAAAATATTATAAACAATAATATAGAAACAAAATGAAATCAATTTAACATTATAATTTTATTCTACAGTTAACAGCCACATTTTATTTCTAAATATATAAATGCATTAGTTATAAGTTCTAACTGGAAAAAAACATTCTTCCCATGTTCAAAAAAATATAGCTCGAGTGTTTTATAAAATGTATGAATATGCAGTCTTTTATGTAAAGTATCACCAAGTTTAGTAAATAGTTTGACATTTGAAAATGAAAATTGATAAAACGTAAATAAAGTAAAATGAAACAAATGTTTACCCTGAAATAAAGTATTGCATATGCTACATATATGTTACACGTCATAAATCAATAATGTATGTAGTAAATTCTGTATGTTAGTAGATGTATAATATGTCTAGTAAATGATTGGTATTCTAAAAAGTTTAATTTTGTGCGATAATAGAATTTTTAATATCTTAATAAAGGTTTATCAATGAATATTTAATGAAAATACATCAGTTTTACCTATTTTTCTTCCTAAAGGTATTTTTATCATTCTTTTCATCATTAGATGTGTGGAGTCAGTTCGTATATAAAATTTTATCACAGATAACGGTTCGTGTGTATTTCTTGTTGAATGATGACATATGATGTCACAAATATGATGATATGACCGCATTCCCGTAAGCCATATCAAACTACGAATTACTTCCATGCATTCAATCACTTTCACTGTATTTATCGTCATCCACATCGCTTGATGACAATTTGTAAAAATATTAAAATAATTTTTTTTGCAATTATAAATTATCATTGTCGCCATCGCTTGGTGACGATGTGCCCAAATTTGTGTTGATGAAGACATGTGAAAATATGAACTGTTGTATTTAATCGTCACCGTGGTTATCGTCTTCGTCAACGCTCGGTACTTCAACATCGTCCTCTTCATCGCTCGGTACTTTAACATCGTCATCGTCCTCATCATCGCTCGGTTCTTCAACATCGTCATCGGGATCTCCCTCTTCAGTAGGGATTTTGACATCCTCCGGTATTTCTATCTCTAATGGTTCAAATTCAGCTGAAAGACAGCAACATAACATTTTATTTCAACTATTATCCTTCAAATGTTATTTTGAAAATACTATTCTTCTTGACTATAGAATTGTTTTATCGTTTTGTATGACTTGCAACGCTTGTTTTAGACTTCTATAAATTACATGCATGCATATATATACATGTATATTTAAAGGTATGTTTCCAAAACACTCTTATACTGAAGATATAAAGCAATTTTTCCGATATTTTCGTATAATTATGATGATCAATTGATGAAACATATATGCATGAAAACATGTAGTATACTCGAGTATATGTCCAGAATATTGTAGTTTTTATCTTTCGAAAAGTTGTTAACTATACACCCAATACCTTATTCATTCATGAACAATATGTAAAAGTATGTACTTGTGGCGAATGATGGCATATCTACACATGATGAAACAATATTTTTCAATGGAGCGAATTTAAGGTTTTATTGGTATAAGATTATGTGCTGGGATTATCAAATACATTTAGATATATATAATCTATTTGGATTTCAAGATGTTTGGAGCTCCATCACCTCAAGTGTCAGTTAATGTGTCCGCATTAAAGTGCCAGACAACGGGTATTGCCAGGGGTAGCTCTTTTTAGACATTTACGAAAAAAAAATCATTCTTAAAATGTTGTCTACAGTACTACAAATGTTATTTGTATTTTTATTCCATGTCGCAAAGCAAAACTTATTATAAAACTGCATATACGTTATGCCCTTTTCTGAAAAAAAACATAGCAATTTTATTTATTGAATCAGAGTAAGTGTCGTTTGGATAGTATTATTTTAAACTTTGCATAATGAAAAAAATTATTATCTGAATTAAATAACATATCGGCGTACTTGATTTTGAGTTACCAGCCCTTGAAAATGATATAAAAGAGAAGGGTTCGCTTTTAGGGGCAGATTAGTTAAAAATGAACATGTGGAACCCAATTTCTTCCATAAAAATGTTCAAATTATGATATTTTTTTCTGTACAAAACGCAAACAATTCAGAACATTCCCTGTACTAGTTAAAACATTTCATTATTTTCTATGTCAAATTTGCAGACTGTAGTTGAAGACTTGTTATTTTGATGAAAAATAAAGATAGACCCAAAGGATTCTGTAGTTGTATCAAAATTGTTATGTAAAAAAAACACCGTAAAAAGTACATTGATTAATTTTTGGAACACTAGTACTCGTAAATACAACGGTATTCTCCTTACCTTTCGATGAGAACATAGATTGGGAATCTTCATCAAAACTGACATCTGGCACCTCGTTATGTCCGTAATGTATTTTCCATCTTAATACCTTGGCAGGTTTACTTGTCATCGTGTAGAAATATCGCCCGCACCCACTCCAAAACAAATCCCTTATCTGTGATAAAAGTAATGGCCATTTATTACGAAATAATCATGACTTGATATTATAAAACTGGGGATGTTCATTTGTTGTTGTTGTTGGTGGTGGTGAAATGGGATTCGATTTTAAGCCACATCAACACTTTGCTAAGCCGTATGGCGACTTCTTATTTCAAGCTTTAGTGGTAGATGAAATACCTTGCCTTCCCCTAAGTGCATTTTTTTCAAATACAAGCGGGTACCTTAGTAGAACTTACGCTACCCCCACATGAAAAAATCACTAAACAGAATTCAAACCCGCAGCGATGAGGGCCAATTGGTTTGAAGTCAGTGACCCTAACAACTCGAATGGATCATTGAATTTAGAAAGAAAACTACATTAATACCTATGTTTCTATTTATAATAACAAAATCTAGGGTATTTCAAGACCATTTTGGCAAGATCTATGTCAGTATGCAATTGTGGCCGCCTTGCTTCTCGGCATAATTTTTCCATAATGGGCGAGTGAATAAGCACACGTGCAAAATGAAATGACGTCATCAACTCTCAGTGACTTTCAAGATGGCTTATGACGGAGGTCGGATCTTTCGTATTTAGATCTAGACGATATCAGAAACCGTTCTCAGAAACCGTTCTTGAAGGCACAAAACTTCATAAAAAAAAACTGGCACTAGAGCTCACAAAAAATGTTAAGAGTAGGATTCTGTATTTATCGATAAAAACAACAGTAAAACAACATTTTTGTGTCGCCTCTACGGAGTAGTGGCGACATATAGGGATCACTTCTCCGTTGTCTGTCCGTCCGCCCGTCACATAACTTGTCCGGACTTCTCCTCATAAACTACTGGTGCAATTTCATCCAAACTTTACAGAAATTATCAGTACCAAGTCTAGTTGTGCATATTGTCAGCATTTTCCGGTTCAATGATTTTTGTCAGAGTTATGGCCCTTTAATAATTTTTGTTTTTAAAGTTTGTCCGGACTACTTCTCTTATACCACTAATGCAATTTCAATGAAACTTTACAAGTTTGATCTGTAGCTCAAGTTCTTGCGCATATTGCACGGGTTTTCCAGTTGAATGACTTTTGGCCGAGTAATGGCCCTTTGTTAAAATGTGTTTTTTTTCTGTGTGTTGCCAGATAAACAAAATCTTGTCCGGACTACTCCTCATAAACTACTGGTGCAATTTCAACCAAACTTTACAGGAATGATCAGTACCAAGTTTAGTTGTGCATATTGTCAGCATTTTCCGGTTCAATGATTTTTGTCAGAGTTATGGCCCTTTAATAATTTTTATTTTTAAAGTTTGTCCGGACTACTTCTCTTATACCACTGACGCAATTTTAATGAAACTTTACAGGATTGATTTGTAGCTCAAGTCCTTGCGCATATTACACGGGTTTTCCGGTTGAATGATTTTTGGCTGAGTTATGACCCTTTGATAAAAATGTTTTTTTTTATATGTGTTGCCAGATGCACAAAAGCTTGTCCAGACTACTCCTCAAAAACTACTGGTGCAAATTTATTCAAACTTTACAGGAATGATCAGTACCAAGTCTAGTTGTGCACTGTCGGTCTGTATGTTTGTCTGTCACAAAACTTTTCCCAACATGAAATTGGCCATCATGAGGCGACACATGTGATTACTGATCGCTCTTGTCTTATATAAGTTAATCGGAGTGTTAAATTGTGTGATAGATATTTGTTTACATTTACATCTGTCCGTTTCTAAGAGAGGGCGATTTGCGACGATGTCTTAACACTGTGTTTCGGACAAAGGTATTAAAGACGATACTACTCGCTTTCAGTTCAAACTGGCACTAGAGCTCACAAAAAATGTTAAAAGTAGGATTCTGTATTTATCGATAAAAACAACAGTAAAACAACATTTTCTTATACATGTATAAGTTAATCGGAGTGTTAAATTGTATGACAGATATTTGTTTACATTTACATCTGTCCGTTTATAAGAAAGAGCGATTTGCGACGCGTATAAACACTGTGTTTCGGACATAGGTATTAAAGACGATACTACTCGATTTCAGTTCAAAACCTGCGTCCCTCAGGTCATTGTGCACATTTTCGGGCCATTATCGCATAACGGCGAGCAGCAACCCAGTATCAACCTCTAAGCAAAAACCTTCAATTAAGACCACCATCGGGACTGGACTAAAGTGGTCTTATTTGTGTAGTGTAGAACAAACAATATGTATTTTAATCTACAAATACAATGTAAATGTTTGTTAATTCAACGTCTGATGGGAAGAAACAAATTTGTTTTCAAATTCTATTTGGTCTGATTTCAATATTGATTATTATATGAGGAACATAATTCACCCACCAAATAAAAAACTAATTTTTGAATAATCTATGTGCTTAAAGCAACATTCAAACACTCTAAAATTTATTTTCTCAACTTATTTCATACAATATCCTAATGATATAAGATGCTTTTGACATCTTGTGAAATCAAGTGTCATGCCTAAGAGCATTCAAGCAGATAATAACAACATAAAATATAGGTATGTATTGACTTTAAATCTGTGGTCCCAATCTTGTGGTCTTAAAAGTGGATAAGCGGGGAGTTCTCAATTCTGGATCATGTAACCACTGATATAAAGAACAAAAAAATCCGTTTCTTTTTAGAAAATCGCCTACAGCGGGATGGTCTTATTTCCTTGATGGTCTTAAGTAGGGATTCTACTGTACTAATATTTTGAATTTTATTACCAACTTTGAAAGACATATTGAGATTTCAGAAGCAATTTAAAAGTTACTGACTTTCCGTTTTATCAAGCGAGAGTGTTGCAAATCAATTACAAGTTAATTAACTGGCTTACCGTTTTATCAAACGAGAATGTTTCAGTTTATTTAGAGGTCACTTGTCAAGGCTTACCGTTTTATCAAGCGAGAATGTCGCAACTTGTTTATAAGTTGTCTTTTCCCACAGTCGAATGCAGTCTTCCTCAAAACGTCCAAATGTGAGAATGTATGGAGATTTTTCGTGCAGCCGTAAATGGACTGGCGTAGTATGTCCCTCCAATCTATGCAGCAATTTTCCTGAAAATAAAACAATAAAAACAAACAAAACAATACGTCATGTTCTACCGGCAATCGCAACTGCTCGGCCATTTCTGTCAGTCTTCGGATAAGGACCTCGAACACAATAGTATGGATTCACAGAACGGATGCGGTATCATGCTTAAATAAGTGAATTCATAGGTACAAACGCAAACAATACATTATTTATATATTTATTATTATGGCTGTAGAAACCGAAAGTACAAAAAGCCAACCTGTTGACATTAAGTCGGATTTGTTTAAAATTGAACATCAGTGGGCATATTTAAATTTCAATTTTTGTCAGACTTATTTTCAAGCATAAGAGTACAGGAACAGACGTAAGATGCCAAAAATATACATCCGTTTTACAATATCACTGTTTCTGTTTACATATGAAACCACGTGGTAGAACTATTTTCGATCCGTGTTGTTTCCGAAGTTACTTTAGATAATAGCCGAGGCGATTCCGAAAGGTTCTACCCATAAATATCAGCAATTAATGATGCTTAACAAAATTGAGACAAAACATCATAATCTTCAATATCATCATTATCACATCATCAAAATAATAATTATCGTCATCATTATCATCAAAAGTATTATCATCATCATTATTGTTATTACCGTCATCACAACCATTATCACTATCCTCCAGTTAAACATCAGAAAAAAATCATATTGATAATCATTATTATCATCATAATCATCACCATCAGCATTTTCTTAATAATCATTATTGTCATTGTTTTCATCATCGTATCTATAATCATTTCTATTTCTATTATCATTATTATTATTATAAAATCATTGTCATTCCTATTATCTACTTTATCATCATCAAAAGCATCATTATCTTCACTTTCATCAATATTATTACCATTATTATCACTATCATTATAATATATAATCATAATCATCAAAATCTTAATCATTATCAGCATTTCTATTGTGACAATTATTTATCCACATTTACCAGTGTCCAAATCATATACTCGAAGAATTTTATCACTGTTCGATGTAATCATCCGGCGATCGTCAAGTTGACAAAGATCTTCCACCGATGTTTTATCCATGTGGTTCACCGATGTTTTATCCATGTTGTTCAGTGACCTATATTTTTGTTGATATACACTGTCGTACATTCTAAACAACTCTTTTTCTAAATATCAAGAAAAGACAATATTTTTGGTCGTTAGTGGTATAATGTCAGACAAGAGGAAAAAAGCAGCAACATGGAAAAAAAGGTGACAACAAAGAAGAAAAAAGTGCCTGAAGAAAGTGTTAGCAAAGAAAACAAGAGGGACAAGATGGCCCTAGATCCCGCACCTGGCCCATGGAACTGATCTGAAAAATTACCTAGACAAGCATTCTGACAAAGTTTCATGAGAGGTGAGTCAAAAATGTGACCACTAATGTTTGACCATGTTTTACAAGGATTATCCATATTTGAGCAGTGTGACCTATTTTTTTCCCAGGTGACCCATATTCAAACTTGACCTAGAAATCATCAAAACAAATTTTTAGACCAATTTCAAGGATACTTGGATCAAAACAGTAGCCACTAGAGTGTTAACAAGATTTTTCTATTTTTAGCTCCTGTGACCTAGTTTTTCATCTGAGATGACCCATGTTCTAACGCATCCGATCATTTAACTAGATAAGCATCCTGACAAAGTTTGATGATAATTGAGGCAAAAATGTGACCGCTTTAGTGTTAACGAACAAGTGTGGACGGACGACGGACATTCAACGATCTTACAAGCTCATCCTGAGCTAGCTCAGGTGAGCCCAAAAACGTGGATGTAAAGAAAAAAGTTGCAACAAAGAAGAAAAAGAGTGACAACAAAGCAGAAACAACAGGCTTTAAAGAAAAAAGTGGCAACAAAGAAGAATCAAAATGGTTGAAAAGAAAAAAAGTGGCAATAATGAAGATTTGGCTGAAATGAAAAAGTGGCAACAAGGGTGAAAAGAATGGCATCAAAGAGTAAAAATTGCAAAAAAAAGGAACAAGTGGCTGAAAAGAACAAAAGGGGCAACAAAGCAGAAACAAGTGGTTAAAAAGAAAAATGTGACATCAAAGACGAAAAGAGTGGTCAGTAAAGAAGGAAAAAGGGATAAACATTTTGAAATCATTACATGAACTTGGTATATACCTATCAATTTATTGCTTTTTGTTTGCCAACATTTATATTATCAATATGTTGGAACAGAAGTTCTCACATAATTTCTGAGCATTTATGCCTTAGAATTTCGAAGATATAAATTCTTATTAATTGTTCACAGTTTCTATAAATATTCTCTGATAATTATAATTAGAACACAAACCAATAGAGAAACAGTATAATACAGGCATGGCATTATCATAATTGCATATCTTGTTAATTTTATAAAATTTTCTTGCAACCTTTACAATCTGAAAACAAGAGCCAATGCCGGGCCGGGGCAATGCTCGTCTTTTTTACCTTTCCTAAAACCAAATAAACAAACGGTTCGGTTAAAACATATCTTAACAATCAATTAAAAGGAGAAAAAAGTATATTTTCCTTTCTTAATTTTATGTATACTTACACTTGTTGTTTTGTCCAACTATGAATCCTTTCCATTAATAAATGAAAAAGTTACAAAATATAATCAAAATTTAATGATTTTACAGTCAAGGTCTTAAAAGGTCAAACGCATATCTAAAATAATCCACATGTCTGTTTGGTTACAAGTGTTGTTTTGCTGTAAGATATGAGTTTAATATTACATAAATAATAAAATTATGAGAACTTAACCAAATTTCAATACTTTGACCTTGACGGTCTAGGTCATTCAAAGGTCAAGGTCAGTTCAACCTTTTAGAGTATCATGTCCAAATGGTTGTCTTGTCCAAATAGAAAAAAAATCCATTGATTAATTATAAAGTTACAGCCAACAGGAGAATTTCATTAATTTGACCTTGACAGTCACGGTCAATTAAGGCTCAATATCACATCTAGATTATTCAATATGTTTGCTTGGTAGCGACTTTTTGTTTTGTCCAAGTATGAATCAAATCCGTTCATAAATTAAAAAATATGAAAATTAAACCAAAATTTAATAATTGGACCTTCAAAGTCAATGTCATTTAAAGCTTAAGGTCAAAGTCAATTCACCCTTTAAAAAGGTCCTGCTCAAAAGGTTGTTTTGTCAAAGTGTGAAGATAATCCATCAATTAATTTCCAAGTAACAGTCAATTGTAGCAAAAATCAGTGAACATACAATAATTTAACCTTCAAGGTCATAGGAGAGCCAATGTCAATTTGAGTTTAATATAAATCAAGGTTTTAACCTAAAAAATTTTGTTACGATATAAAGTCAATCCATTCATGATAACAAAGGTGTAGTCAGTTATAGCAACAACAATAAAAAATGAAAAATTCTTAAAAGTCAATGTCATTTATGAATAAAGGTCAATGTCTACTAAAATTCTGGTCTAATGAATAAAGTATTACCTCCTTTAATAAGCACTCCTCAGTTTCGTTTTAAGTTTTAAGGTAACAGTGACATTAACCATTGACCTTGTGACCCCAAAATCCATAGGGGTTTTCTATCAAATATTGACAATCGTCCTATGAAGTTTGAACACTGTGGGCCATGTGAAACTTAATTGTGTCCCTGACCTTTGACCATATAACCCTAAAATCATGTATTGGACTCGGCTGTTCATCCTATAAAATTTTACAGCTAAAGGTTGATGAATATTTAAGTTACTGAATATTTAAGTTACTGAGCGGAAACAGTTTTCAGTTTAAATGTTATAGTGACCTTGACTTTTGATCTTGTGAACCTACAAACCCATGTGTTATTTCCAAAACTGTGATTTTATCGCTCAGTAAAATCACTGTTTCAAACTTTGGAGTTCAGAGGCGAGGAATTTTATTAGGAGGGCGTATCCGATTTGGATATGTTATTTCGATTTAATGACATTAATTAAGTTGAATTGCGCATGATTTTTATTCCTTCTTATTTTCAGCGCGTCCAATTTTTAGTGATTACGTCACAAGTATAATGATTACATCAAATTTCTTAATACAGAACGTCAAAAGTGATTTTATTGCATAATAACACACACACTTTCGGTCGTGGTGTTAGAATTATATATTGGATGAATAAATTGTAATAACTGTTTCTTTGTGGCATGTGGTTTTGTAAACAGGGGTTTCTGTGTGGCAATTTATAAATACCGTTTCTTTGACACGGGTTTCTTTGCATCGAATTATGAAGCTGATTATTTTTTCAGCCGATATTTGAATTCTGGTTATCTGAGTCAATTTTAGAATGCAGTTTTATAGTGCAGATTTATGTTTTTTCTTTCACAAAGGTTTTATCTTTTTGGTAGCGATTCATGAAAACGTGATTTCTTTGTGCCGACTGATTATACGATTGTATGAATAAATAATGAGAAATTATACAAACTGTTTTGTATGTCCCAAACTACGAGATGTTCAACACTGTCCCCTTTTGTCATATTAGGTAACATTCCCTCCGTGCTGAAAATAAGTCGTGTACCTTCAGCATTTATCCACTTATACTGACCGAAAAACTCGTCGTAATCGGGCTCTACAAACATAAATTATGCATATTTTCATAACTTGCTGGTAAATCTGAATCTTAAAACATATTTCCTTATTCTAAATACTGTAAATATTCAAATGGCCAATACAAGGGAGTAAAATACAATAATTAATAATAATTATTATCTTCAGCCAATCATGCGTAAAGAAAATGTTTCGCCAATGTACAGGGAAGTAATTTATACCGGCGATGTAAGAAATCAAGTAAAACCTTATGACTTATGTCAAAGTGGAAAACAAACTACATATACAAAGGTTATAATTTTTGTTTTCAGAAAGAAATTATTTCATTTCATTATTATAATTTATTTAAAATTCAAATGTTCGGATTGATTTACTAATAGCGTAGAAAATGTAGTAAAACTTACTTGAAGGAATGGTATACATCACTTTTTGGTCCACAAGATCATACAGAATTATCGGCCCTTCATCAGAAGATGCGCACGCGACTGTTCCTGTGCTATTCACCTGGAAATATTTTAACAAAACTTTATTTGGTTTATAATTCACATCGTCACATTGTCGCAATGGTAAACTGCTGACTTTCAACATGACTGATGGATAAAGACCTTAGATGTCCGTCCGTGCATTAATCCGAGCACGCATCCGCACCTTAATATAAATGAATATTGTTCGTAAGGTAACTGAATAGCTTCCTCCGACATCCCTGACAAGATTCGAACTCACAATAATGGACGAGGGGTGATTAAAAGTCAGAAAGCTTAACAGCTTTGCTATGCAGATCCCTAAAGAAATTCAAGTGAATGCAATCAGTATATATTTTTCTATTGAAACTTAACACACGTGCAGTTTAACCGCTAGTGGCATATTCATATACAGTCACACATTGTGTATGTATTGTACATAAAAAACTGAAAAGAAATTGTATGCCATTAAAGGCCAATTATGTCTCAGAAATGGATACAAATCTTCTTCTTAAGAAAAGGTAAACATGTGCTTTATAATATTGTAATAATGGATTGCAGCATGTAAGATGTTACACCGAGTGTGAAATAATTTGTCTATGTAAGCAAAAAGTTTTTTGACGTACATTCAAGTTTAAATATACTGATTGCCAAAATGCTGTAGAAGCAAATAATGACTCGGCCATATGGCAAATGATAACTCATAGAAGTATGAAAAAATCACATTTTTTGGTGGGAAACGGGTCTTATGAGCCTTTAACAAAATTAGATAATATAGTTTGAACTTTGTTTTTATTTACATGTATTTTTTATAACTAAATCCTTATCACAAACAAGGCAGAAGCAGTGTAACTGTTTGTTTGTAAAAGAAGAGTATTGGTTCCTTATTCTTTGAGCATATTATTCCACATTGCATATTTATGTTTAAAATCGAAAATACGTTTTCACTGTTACTAATTTCATATACATGTATCTGCTTTCGGGGTGGGGGGGTGGGGGTTGGGATCGTTGTTGTTGTTGTTGTCGTTTTTTTAATCATATGCATATCCATGTGTTTTTAAAACAAATAGTGTCTTAGCCATTTATAACAAATCAAAACTAAATACACAACTTGAATTAAAAATGAAAACTGAATAAACAACACGTCAACCGTATAACAAATACGTTTTAAAACACAGAAGCAATTTCTGAAGTACCATGGAAATTACTTCAGAACTTATACTGAAGGTTCACACTCAAAATTTCAACAAAATTGATTGAATATTAATCATATATAACATATAACAAAATTATACAAAATTTCCGAATAAACTTCTTTATATTACTTACAATTAATGATTTTAAATTCATAGTCTGTCCCGCTCTTAAGACGCACGCAACCTTACCCGTACTTAGGTCGTAGATTTTAAGGTTTTTGTATGCCTTTGTATAACAAATTAGCTCTGAAAAAGAAAAATATTACATTTATATTATAAAATTTCTAATAAAAAGCTTCTTGTTTTAACTCCATGGCTTTAAACCTTAATAACTCAAACAAGTAGAAAATCATGTATCATTGTACAAAATAAACATTAGCAAATATCCGTAGGTAATAAGGGGTATAACTTCTAAATCATATTGCTTTCAGAAGTATGCCCCTTGTTTATCACTACCTACTCGTCAACTTGATTTTTGTATGTGATGAGTGGGAATTTACGTCGCACCAGGCCATACGGGAAGGAAGACATCGGATGCCCCTTCACGCATTATTTCATAAAGGAACAGGCGCCTGGACACAACCATGGACGTTCAATAAGCTGGTTGGACAGCTTCTTCATTTGGAGAATCCAGTTGAAGAGGGGTGGTAGGGGGAAAATTCTTAAAAAAAACCCCAACTTTAACCAGTCAGCCTCCGACGCCCCGTGATTAATCTAACAAATAGTACAGAACTTACGATTCCGAGGCAGATATCTGAAAGCGTTATATTCGTAAAATTTGCTTGCGAAGCCTTGAAGTTTTGTCTCTATATCCATCGTGTTCAAATTAATGACAAATAGTTTTCTATTCCGTATTACCAAAACCCTTGTTGCATCTTTCCGAACAACTCTTAAGCTAGAGAATTTTCCCTTGAATATAGTAAAACATATTTTTTTTCTTTTTATAATATCTTTTGTTTTATATGTTTAAATATGGTTAAATATGGTTAGATACTTATGATACCCTTAACTGCAGAATCACGCCTGCAAAGGTTGCCTTATTTGAACTAAAAGACCGTTAATAAGTCGTGAAAGCCAATTAAGTAAAACAATGAATCTGGTTCTACTATGCGTAAATGTAAAAACATCTGTATGTAATTTTCAAATTGTAAGTAACTTATATAATTGTGTTTAAAAGAGCGACCATTTAATAAAATAAGCTGAAACAAATTAATAAATACTAACCATTGTTCGTATTTTAATAAACTTGTCCGTGATACAATCATAAACGCCAAACAGTGCATCTGACGACTCTAACGTGGCTGTACCTGCTACGAACATGTATCTTGTAGGTTCCAATGACCAATATTCACTGTAAAACAGTTCGAAAAAGAAAGGTATCCAAATCTGAATGTTCTTTTAATATATGCATCTATATTTATTAAGTTCTTGATTAAAGAAACAGGAACACACTAGAAAATATATTATGCATTTATGAATACATATCATCATAAATTACTGTACTTACAATATACACTTTACGTTGTTTTTTGTTGCTTTTTTATTTAAATAAATATCTATTGATCACTTTGTTTAGAACTTTACTCTTTTCTTTGCGAACATGCCATTTTTTATTTGTTTGGGTTATCAGACCAAACAAATAATGGTAGCGAAATTTCAGACTTTAATGCTGTAAATTGCAAATGCCGAAGGTAGTCCGCTTTTTTGAAGCGGTTACTTCCCTTTATATGTACACTTATGCCAAAATATTCAGGGGAGATCACTGCGTAAAGACGGTCAAAAGACAGGCGCATTAATTTTCAAGCAAAATAATTCCCAAATGGTCGAATGTTTCTAATATTGTTTTATTCTTTATAGATATGCATTTTTATAGTAAGCTCCATGATTAGTTACATCTATGTTAAACAACAGTTAGCGTCGTTACAAACCCTAATTTAGAATGATATGGTTTTCTTCAGGCGGTTAGCATATAAATTCACCGTGGCCGAGGGGTTTGCGCGCTCGCTCAGGAAGCGAGAGGTTAGGAGTTCAAATCCCAGTTGAGGCAACTGATTTTTTGAAATTGTTTAAGTCAAATAATCATTGGATTGAATATCAGTGTTGTAATAAGTCTTATAGCCAATTTACTACAATTAAAACGCTGGAAAGCATTGGTGACACTATACAAAAACAAATTGGTTAATAATCTCACAACTTTCACCTTTCTGACATTCTGAAACCCAAACAAATTCAGCGCCAAACAAAGTAATATTTACTGCGTTACAGAGTGTCGACAAAGGCATGCACATTTCAAGTATAAATTTGATATAACTTGTAGCAATAATTGATTTTTGTTTAAAAAGGAAACTGTCTCAAAAATCTAGTTTTAATGAATGATAAAAATTCTTTCATGAGTCGAACATATATGTATTATTTATGTGAATTTTAATATAAATATTGGGAAAAGATAGTAAAATGACCAAACGATATGCGCTAAAAGAAATGTAACGTATAACAATTCCTTTCAAAATCACAGACCCCATTAAAACTGAAATGCAGCTCCTGTTTTTAACACAACAATTTAGTGATTGGTAGATTTTTTCGTCTTAATAATGCAAAAAGAGTATATTGAATAATGCAAAACGTGTATATTGCCATTCATTGATTGGACAAATCTGTATTTAAACCATGTCGGAGAAAAATTCTACATTTATTACAAACAAACCGAAAGATGCGGTGGATGGAGTAACCATTAAGAACGAAACTACTGTGAACAATGACTTTGCCATTTCTAACTTGATCAATGATGGGACCGACACATGTTAACAACAACCAATCCAACAACGAACCATTATACCTCAAAACTGTAAACAGACCAGATCAAATGTGACACACTCTCCACAAGGTATTCGCCCATTATTCCAACCTTTCCCCCGGGCTTTTTGCCTCATGATCCCAACAAGTCCTTATTGATAGATATTGATGATACGTAAAATGGACAACAGACTATTTGCCAAAGAACAAGCCTCAAATACTTGCATGCAAAAATTAAGCTCTATTGAAAGCAGTGTCGCTCAAAACCAGCTTACTAGGTTACACATTTAAAATAAAATCATTAAAAACATCTGGTCAATCCATGAGTGATACGCAATATGATTTATAAACTACTTAGCAGACATTTTCTAATTTGATGCGAGATACAGAGAATACAAACAAAAAATTGAGTTCTGATGTCGAGGTTCAATACATTCAATGACAGTCAATAACTATGCCCATTGCTCTCCGGAGTCGGCTAAATGATTTCCGCTGTAAAGAGTTAAAAACAATTTAGTTATCCAAGGTATACAGAAATATGTCCCAATACAAGATCAACCGAATGAGGATTGTCTTTCAACTGTGTATAATTTCATGCACAATAGTATAGAGCGTTACAATGAGCTAAATCTCAAAAGAGACATTGTAGCGGATTTTATTACAATTAAAACAGCACAACGGCTAGGTCCGGTTAAGGGTCACGACAATATAGGCAAAACCCACAGAACACGTCCAAGTGACTTTTTGAAAATTTTGAACAAAGGGAGCTAATACAAGAGGCGGGTGAAATTAAATGCCAGGGAAGGCAAATGTTTAATAAATGAGCACTTCTCACAATATGTTGAACTTAGGCGACGCATGATTTTTTCTGTATTCGTAAATTCAAGGGTAAAAGAGAACAATATACAGTGCACTTTAAAAATGACACGCCGAATTTGAACGGACTCACATATGATCCTGATACCGAGGCATTCTTTGATACACGACCCCCTAAACCAAAAAAGCAACAAATATAAAAAACATTTTAGTTGTATGTGGCTTAAATGGTATTTGGACACACCATGAGTTTACCAAATTGCTAACAAGTACTGTACAACTGAAACTTTCTGATCTTTCCTTGAATGATTGATACTCAACTATTAAAAAATCGAGTTATTCGAAATATTGTATTGTATTGTTAAAACTGAAATGAAACTCCTGTTTTAACACAACAGGCAGAATGTTTTACACATGTGCTGATAACCTATAATTTTATCATCAACGACACGTGACAGGTGTTTATTTGGCATGTAGATAAAGAGATTAAGATAATAAATATTGCCCCTAAAATATTCAACAGTTATAATGTCGTTTATTGTCGAAAATATCAACCCATATCAGAAATGTAAAAAAGGGTCTGCACTGGTCGCTATTTAGTTAATACATATTTACAGTATCTACTTAAGAGTGATCAATGGTTTTGTCCTGATTGTAAGAAAAAAAGTTCATTTAAAGTTGTAAAGGTAAAGGAAAATGTATAATCTCACAATAGAAACTTTATCTTTTGAGATAGATTATTGTCCGCGCTGTAAGTTGTAGGCTGTTTACTTCTCGTCAGGTCCCAGATTCGTAAATTACAGTCAGCAGCTACAGTGATCACCGTTTTCATGTCCACCGTTTTTGATGTTACCAATCTTTGACTATTATCTAGCACGTCGACTTCCTGTGATTTGATAAAAGCAAAATCACGTCATTCTTGACGAAGTTTATCTTTATTCATTTATTTATTTATCTATTTATTTATTTATTTGTTTCCTTATACAAAATGCAGTAACTGATGTCATTATTAATCCTCTTATGTATCTTTATTTAACCATTCAATAAAAACTTTGAAGTTTTCGTCAAAACCTTAACTCGTCCTTGGTCCTGTTTTATGTCACACGTCATATGACGACATTTCTTCGAGCTTTTCTGATGTAACACTGTGTGCATTATTTCAAACACATACGGACACGTGACCGTCTGTAAGACAGTTAAATAGTCTTTATAACAAATGACTCTCGCGAAATTTGAACACAAATTGAACTATTTCATGAAAGCTTACATCTAAAGTAGCAGTGTTGAAGAAATGAAGCTGTTTCGCATTATGGACATAGAAATGTTTCCCATCTGGCGTAAAATCTATACTACTAAATATCCGGTCACCATTCTCTGAAACCATAGATTATTAAAATAAATGGGCCATTATGGCCCTAGATCGCTCCCCTGACCCATCAACCACATCCAAGCAATGTCTTAGACAAGCATCCTGGCCAAGTTTAATGACAATTGAGAATAAAAATATAACCTCTACAGTGTTAAAAAAGTGTTTCCATATTTGGGCAGTATTAGCTGGTTTTTGAACGGAATCAACCCATATCCCATATTCAAACTTGACCTAGAAGTCATAAAAACTACCTCCCTGACCGATTTTCAGGAATTTGGTTCAAAACTGTAGCCACTAGAGTGTTAACAAAATTTTTCTATTTTAATCTACTGTAACCTAGTTTTTGAACAAGGATGACCAATCTTCAAACTAGACTAGAAATCATCAAAGCAACATTCTTGACAAATTTCCAGAACATTTGGATCAAACCTGCAGCCACTAGAGTGTTAACAAGCTTTCTCTATTTATAGCTCTTGATGCCTAGTTTTTGACCCGAGATAGCCCATCTTCGAGCTTGGCGATCTGTGCAGATACCCAATGCATAATCTTGCTGCAAATCTTCAGATTTTGGTTGAGACTTAAAAACCTCCCTAGAGATAGATATACACGCTTATGTTATGAAATGCTGATAGATTATTACAGTATTGGATACAAAAATTTGGTGACTTATGTACGATTAAATCTATATAAAAATGGATTTGGATACGTATGGGAGGCACAGGTTGTAGCCAATCCTAAATTGTTTATAGTGCAATATGAACAGCGTCTAAAAGACCAGTTTGGGCAAAATTGGCAATTAAAGTGTCTAGAATATGTAAAATTAAATCATTATGTTATGTTTTAGACTACCTTAAGAATTGAAAAATATATTCGTTTATAGATATTGACAAGTATAGAAAGTGTTTTGCTAGTTTTAGAAGCTCTTCACATTGTTTAATGGTTGAAAAGGGTAGACATTTAAATATTGATAGAGAACATCGTAATTGTATGTATTGTGAATCAATGTTAGAGGACGAATATCACTTTCTTATTGTGTATTCTTTATGTGCAAATTAACTTTCTTACTATAAACCATTGTATTATTATCATTATACGAATGTTCAAAAGTTCTACTCTTTGATGACAACTGAAGACGAGTCATTGATACGTAATGTTGCTATGTATATTTTTATGCAATGAGAAAAAGAGATATTTTCCTTAAATGTTGTGAAGAATATTTATTCAGATTGTACTTTCTAACTGTATTGGAAATGCGTAATGCTAATTTGTATTGTATATTGAATACACTGTGTATGAGCCGGAGGCCTTTTGTACAATAAAGATATTGAATTGAATTGAGCTTGATCTGTATGAGACAAACATTCTAACAAAGTTTGATGATGATCCAATCAAAACTGTGACTGCTAGACTGTTAATAACCCAATTGTTGACGAAGAACGACGCATGACGCACGACGACGGACACCGGACATAGCCTTATCACTACACCTCACATTGACCACTTCGTGGACAGGTGAACTAAAATAATCATTACCCTTTTACTGATTGTTCTGACATTTTTCGGCAAATATTAAATTTGGACGCCATTATGATTGAAAATTGCGCATGCGCAAAAAAGACTATCCGCACTTTTTTACTTCGAAACATCAGGACCATTGTAAATTGTCAATATAAAACAAACTGAAATGGATTGCGTACTTTCATCTAATGCCGTTTTATAACACTTTTGGCAATTTATGTAAAACTGAAGCTTATGATTTATCATAAAATTTAGCAAAGTTACCCTTCTATATAGCTCAGCATGAAACATGGACGAATTTACACTTTTAACTATATTTCAAATGATAATGTAAGCGGAGAATTAGTCTATACCTAGCATATTTCTGATCTTGTTTCCATGGAAATCAGCGAATATGATTTCACTGGTTAACACAGTGGTATATGCTAGATGAGTTTCATCGGGATGTATGGAAAGTGCATCTACTGGGTACTCATCTTTTTCTTCACCATCCTCATCATAAATAATGTCAAATCCTCGGAACTTTTCCATGAAGGTCATGGATTTAAGGTCAAGGACGGTGATAAATATTTGCTCTGAGTCGGTAACAGCAACAAAATTGTCTGTAACTGTATGTCAAATAGTTGTAATCATCAATTAATAACACAAAAATAAATACTAAATTGTTGTTTTTGTTGTTTTCAATCTTCAATATTTAACCAAATTAAAAAAAAATGTTCGTCAAAGATAATAGGATTTTCCAAAAATTTTTGTTTTAGGTGTAACTCGAATTTTACACAGAATGACACATTGTGAAAAAAGGAAAATTCAGACTACATTTGTAATTTACGTATGACACTTCTATCTACAGATTTATTTACGTGTAAATAAAATCATTAAATTATAAATAAATGTCCGTCTCAGTTCAATTCATCTGCTATGTAATACTGGCTTTGAGTTTTGATGCGCATGAATTTACCAAGAAGACCGTTATTTTTAGGGTTTTTTTCCGTCAAAAAGACACATTTTGCTTAGACTTGTATTGAGAAAAAAATATTTATTGTTATCCAAACCTCAAAAGGGTTTAGTGGAATACAGTGGATGGCAATGAGCTCCCCCTCCCCGATCATTCCGATTCTTGGCAAAATTTTACAGTATCACATTTTTGCACATACCTTCAGTTAAGCTTTTGCTTCCAAACTTCAATTTTTCAGGATGTAACAGAGGCTTGATAAGGTTCCCGTTGTCATGGAGATCATATATAAAGCAGGTAAATTGTGTGAATGCCAAAAGTAAACACTTGTCCTTCCCAGCAACACATATGCTTGTTTCAGATGAAGGTAGATTGACAGTGCAATACAACTTTCCTGAAGAAATTACACGTTACATAACCAGAGATATGGAGAAATCTATGTCTCTGATAGAACATATTATAGACAAACAACAAAAGTATCATATTAGTATAAACTGGCATTAGATAACATAATTAAAACTATAATTTTCATCATTCCCATTCTATCAATTAACAAATTTAAATCAATTCAATTTCTTATCAATTTTCTTAAATTTTCTTAATTCCTTTCTTAATAACTATCATTCCCTAATTTGAGCAATTTTACGATTCTTATGAATTGCCTTATTCTGTCAGTTTACCTAATCTATCAGTTCCCTAAATCAACAAATTCCTTAATTTACACGTTCTTTCTTTTTTCAAATCCTAAATACTAGTATATGATTTTTGATTTCGATTATCTAATCGCTGTCTTTTACTTTACTAATGAACAATGCTGTTTTTTCTTATTCGTGTAAATTCTTTTCTACATTTCGATATGCTCATCGTTGTCCATTCTAACAAATCCGTGTCGATTGCCACGTAAATATCGATTAACCTATCCTATCGATACCCCTATATACTACTATTTCTGTTGATCAATTTATTATTTTGAATCAAAGCGATAAATTTTTACTGATCCTTTCAATCCATTCCTGATGAATTCTTGATACATTTAAGTGTTGCCGCAGCAATCTACCGACATATATATACGCTAAATATTACCAAAATATATGTGTTATCCACAATAACGAAACTAATAAGAAAATTTGGAGATTGACCTGTTTGAACTTCCTCCACGGAAACAGTCTTATCCATTTTACAAGCTAACAATTTGTCACCACAACAAAACAGAGCTTTCATGCACTGTTTCATTCCAAAACTTCTCCTCTTAAGCCGTCCTGTTTTTATATCCCACAGACTTATTTCATGGTCAAACTCACAAACTGAAATAGAAAAGAACAAGAAACAATTCTTAATCCTTTTACCGACCGAAACCTTCTCACTTTACATTTCTCACGTTCAAAGTGAAAAATAAGAATTAGGTAGCACCCATTCTAATTCCAAATGGCAGTAAAGGGACGCTACATCAAAAGAAGAAGATAGATCAAGGACCCTTTCGAAAGATTCAAGGGAGGTAATCCGTCCATGAGAACATTTAGTCTGGATTACCTGCACATTGGTTATCAGTGCACTAAATTAAATTACACATTTCTTTAACTCAACAAAGAGTTGTAGTTACTAACATGGTGTAAATACTCGTTGAACAAATCGTATAAACTCACCAGTGACAACAAGTTTGCCATCTTTGGTTATATCCATCATGCTAATCTTAGATCTGTGAGCCGCTACACAATGAACAAGTTGTCCCCCTGGTCTCTCTAGTATTCTTTCTCCCGGTTCTATGAAGGTTTTCGGATATGCTCTACATTGATCTATGAACTCTTTGTTTACCTGTAACACAAATAATAAACATCTCACAGAAGTAATTACCAATCTGATATGTGTGTAATAAAACATTGACTTTTTAATCCGAAAAGCCGAATGCCTCCAGAGGAGCCAAATAATTTCAAGAAAATCAGCTTTGAGAAAAATGAGCTTAGTTTTAAAAGAAAAAAATTCAAATCAAGTTATGATTTACATGTTGTATTCAATGAATGACTGATTTTGCAGCATCTATCACGGGCCATATTTATACTGCGTTTGTACAGTAAGGACTTGTTTTGCAATGTTACTTTAAATTTATGTTTATAATCGTCTGGGAAGAGCATTTTTAAAGATTGTGAATGAGTAAAGTTATTATATAGACATTACACATCATTGTTTACAAAACATACTCTGAATGTTCAAGTGTTATGAACTGACTACGAAACGCTATTGATGTATTAAGGAAAACTTCGGAAACTCGCGTGTTTGACACCCATAAAAAAGACTTATTTGCGTTTCTTGAATAAGTAAATTTAAATTTATGCAATATTGACAAACATTGGTATAATTTTAAGCCTGAAACAATCTTTCGACGTTTCGTTATTACTTTGTAATGATAATTAAATGCATTTGAGCATAAATATGAATTTGATTTAAAACATCTTAAACTTCATATAAACGTAGATACTCATTCAATTATGTACTCATATTTTAAGTTAGCATCCCTTCTTCCACGAATTTTTTTTTTGCGATGAAACATTGTCTTAAGGTTTTTATGAGCATATACAATGAAATAGACTGCAATGCATCTGTCAATCACAGACAAACTTACAATAAACCTAATGCGCAAGTAAATTTTCGCATAATTTGTCTCTTTTTTATCAAACCAACATTAAAAAAAGACAAGTGATTAAATTAAAGAAAAAAGTAAAATAGGCAGTTAAAATTAACATGATTTTCCTCCAATCTCCCAAGAAGTTGAGGAACAATCTGTCCAGGGTCAGTAACAAGACCTTTCTGAGATAACAACATGGAATCATATATCATCTTGATCAGATCATTGTCGGGAAATGCTTCAATCGCCGAGACAAAATCATTCAACGTTGCTCTGTAAATAATGAACATAAGAAAAACATCAAATAAGCTACACAGAAATCAAAGTGATATATTATATTTTAGAATACTTGAAAAATTTGAAAATAAAATCATGAAAAACGAGCAGGATCTGTCGAAGTACCCGGTAAAATGACAACGTTGATATTAATATTAAATTGAAAGCAAATCTTTAAAAATTCGAAAACCAAACTGGTTTCTAAGGTATATATAATTAAGGTATGCGTGCTGCAAGCTGTCTTTGATTAATTATGCTATGCGTATGAAAATTGAAGAACTTTGCAACAAGTAAAATAAGAAACTCACGTCAGAGGCATGGCTCCGATTTTCGACATTAGAAAGTAAACGTTAGCAAGACATTGCTGTTCTAGAAGTTTTCCATCACAAGCTTTAATTCTGTGGTAAGGGAGGTTACTGAGGGAGCGAATATTGTAGTCCTCCCCAAACTTCAGAGGCTGAGCGGACACGTGACGATCTTCTTCACCTAGCTGGCCTCTAGATGTTGTGAAAGGCTTTTTGGTACCTGATTAAGTATTTAACAAGGCACACTATGCACATAAAAGCTCGTATGTAAAGAAACACATTTAATTTATTTTATCTTATTACTTACTAAATTTGTAAACAAAAACTGTATTTTATTTTTATGTCTCCATCGTGGCGACGTGCGTGAGCAGGCATCAAACATTGAATGCGACTGGAATATTTTAAATAATGCCTGAGTATAAAATAAAAAAATGACAAAAGTACGTCTCTATAAACTTTTATGAAAAAAACATATAATTCAGTTGGAGATATCTCAAGGAAAGTGTATTGTAGAAGCATAACAAATTTACAATTTAAGGTACCAATAAAGTGATGTCACCATCTTTCATCAATTTTGGTCATAAATCTATTACCGTTAGCCCAGGTTCCGTTGAAGAAGTCAGCCAGATTTGAATGGATGACTTTATTTTGTTCAGGATCCGAACAATAACGGGCTTCGGCAGCTTCCGTAAACTGTCGGTGATACCAGTACATTACTCGAGTTCCATCTGCCCCTCTCTCAACTGAAATATCACATAATTTTGTTTAGTTTGCATAATTGCATTACTTATTATATAATGACATGTTCTAAAGATGATTCATGGTGTTCTTTGTTTAAATGTGTATTATAATCTTGATTGAAAGCACAGTTTCATCTTTTACCCTTCCTTGTTTTCAATGCCAAACAGTTTACTCGTAACACACGACAATCCTGTTCTCTAATGTTATTTTCTCCGTATTTTTTCACCTGACAAATCATAACTATAAAGTAATCGATGTAACTATTTGCCCGATTGAACCACATTCGCAACTTCCAAATTAAGTAAATTTAAATAACAGGCTAGTTTCCAGAAGGTTCGACGCAAACCTTATTCAGGTCAAATCCTACCTACATGGCTACATCACTACCTTAATCACCCCCATATCCTAGGCTTTGTAATGGAGTGAAAACATGACCTGATTTATATAGATTGGTATGAGTGGTTCTAGGATTCCCACGTCAATGTCCTGAATAATTCACAGAGTGCATTTCTGGTCCTCCTCCGCACATAAAAGCTTTTATGTATTAATGCAAATTTAAAACAAACACAGCCAGTTCGTTCTTTATCGTACCTGCTGCTTATAAAAACGTAACCGTTACGTTTAAAATGTTGTTTCCGTGTAGTAAGATCTTTTCATCCTGTTATTCAACATTGTGCATCTCGGAGTCTTATTGTCGAAAAAAAAATTGATTTAAAAGGTAAGATCTATTGCATACCTAAATATTGACTAAGATCATTCCTAACTCTTACAAGAAGTAAGGGAGGTAATCTCCTTACTGGGGGTGTCCAATACATGTACACGTCATTCAGCACGTCATCATCACACGACAAAATGTCCTCGAGCTCAGCTTCGGAAGCTCCGTTGTGCGCTTGAAAATGACAAAAACTCATGTAAAATCAAATTTATCAATGTAATAATTTCATGTCAAATAGGTTAAAAAACATTTACGCAAATAATGTAACTAATTCGATAAAACGTCATTGGTGTTTTGTTCTAGAAAACGTAAATAAATTAATCTCCATAGGTAAAGATTAAACATCTAGATCTAAATCGATACGCTTGAAGTATGCGGTAATCTTGTGATTTCCTTAGGTATAACACTCAAGGAAGAGGTATGGCAGGTATTGCTGTCTATATACATAAATCTTTCAATTGTTATATATCGCAATTACAGTCAAATTGTAAATTTTGTATGTTTTATGAGAATATATGATTGTTTCATGCAAATATAGATATCATTTAATGCATCGTATATTTACCCCAAAAACATTCTCAGGCATATATGTATGAATCATTTAAAATTTGAGAAATGTTAGAACATTATCTTTTTGAACTCGATAAAAATTTTTCTGGGGTTGATTATATCATACCAGGCGATTTAAATGCACGAACAAGTAACCATAAAGATTATATTGAAAATATTTCTAATTTTTCAATATCACTGGACTATGATGTCATTTTGTCAAAGTCATTACCGCTGCAACAATCGTGTGATTCAGTCAGTAACAGGTCGGGCGTTCAGCAATTAGATTTTTTGTAAAACAAAGTCCTTATATATAATAGCAAATGGACGCTGTGGTTAAGATTGTGGAATAGGTCATGAAACTTTTATTAGCTGTAATGGCATCAGCGTAATCGACTTTTTAGTTGCATCAGAATCTGTATTTAATCTTATTTAAGATTTTCAAGTTGGGGACATAAGTGAATAGAGTAATTAACCAATTGAAGTAAATCTTTTCAGTACTGTTGTGTTCTTAATTTTAATACCAGGAAAAATAATAATAAAGAACGTGTCATTTAAAATTTCAGTAATAAGAGAGTAGCAGATCTGAGACATACTTTCACTTACACTTTCAAAAATGAAAAGTTACATAACATGATTTGTGATATTAAAGATATCTTAAAATATATAGATTCTGTACTAGATTCCATAATGGATATTTTTAACAAATCTAAAATCTGCATAATTGAAACAAAACGAACTGTTCTTAATCATGAACGTAAATGGTTTGATAACGAATGTTTTATACTAAAAAAAAGAATAAAAACTATCATTTACGTCGGTATCAAAAATGAAGATCGAACTCTAACCCCGAGCATTATATCCAAGTTAAAAAAGCAATTTTAAAATCTTTTTGAACAGAAAAACAAACATTTTTTAAATAACAAGCTCGATGATTTTGTAAAACATTCGAATAAACCAAGATCGTTTTGGAAAAAATCCAGTATTTTTGTCTCCATCTTCGAATATTAACACTAAATGCAGTATTCCTTTAGAATCTTGTAAAGATCATTTAAAAAAAATATTTCAAGGCCTAGTTAATGAAGACGCAGAAGAAATTGCTCTAGTTGGTGGAAATTTAACTGAAAATGAAGATTTTTAACTCAGAAATTGCAGATAAAGAAATATCAATTAACATTCGTTCATTGAAATCTGCCAAGGCGCCGGACGTTGATGATTTCCCACAAAATTTCTTTAAATGCACATTTGATTTAATAATGCCATTAATGTTTTTTTTTAATTTCACAGTTTATTTGCTGAAGGGAAATTTCCAGATTCATGGAGTTCCGCTATAATCATATCATTGTACAAAAAGGGTAATCGCAATTATTGCGAGTTATTGCGGAATCTCCTTGCTTAACATTTTAAGTAAGACATACACATCCCTTTTAAAAAGATGTCTATCTTTTTATGCCAATGTTTTTAATAGAATAGACGAATCCCAATCTGGACTTAGAGCTTGTAATAGTACAACTGATAATGCTTTTGCTCTGCAATCACATATTTCTAATGAACTTTCAAAGAAAAGGGGCAAATTATATGTTGGATTCGTTGATTTCAATTCTGTCAATCGACATAAGCTTTGGCAAATACTCTACAATGCTTATATAAGGGGGAATCTTTTAAATTTTATTATTGCTACCATATATGATAATGTAAAAGCATTTGATCATTCTAACGGTCATATCTCAGATTATTTGAATTGCCCGACTCGGACATTGCTACGCTCAATAACGTTCAAGGCTTTCACAATTAGAAATGACTAAAAAGTCATATTATAGCAAGATGAACTCAAATGATTGGAATTGTAAAGTATGTTCTTTAGGATTATTTAAAAATAAATTTCACTTTCCTCTTGTCTGTCCGGTATGCATGTTTAAGATCAAACTATATTGCTTAGAAATATTATACTTGTGCAACAGTTCACAAATTGAATATATATATATCATGTAAAAATGAAGATGATATAAAATGTCTTGCTAATTATCATGCAACAAGTCGAAAAAAGATGATTATGTAGTATTGATTAAGATACGTCTATATTCTATCTTCAAAAATGTAATGTGTGCGAATTGTTATAATGAACTGATGAGTGTATCTGCATAAATTGTTTCTTTTTTTAATGTTACAATTGTATATGTTATAGGCTGGTGGCCTTTACTAATAAATTTCTGTTCTGTTCCTTTCAGACTGGACTGATCAATTAAATCAGTCTGACTTTTTATTACTTTTTACGGCCGTCACACTGCAAGCTTGTTTGTTTACTTATTATAGCAAATAGGTTTAATATTGTTTCGTTTTTTAAAAAACAAATATAAAACATTATTAGCATCTACAGCTTTTTAACACAAAGGGTTGATGTTAATTACCTAAAGTAAGATAAGATAGCGCTCTCGTTACAAGAATTTTCCCGTGCATCTTCTCCAATTTCTCGAACAAATGTTCAATGCTTTCACGCACAGTAGATTGTAGCACGGTTTTCTCGAGCGGATAAAATGATGTCCAAGTTGTACTTTCCTCGAACGATAGCTATAAAACAAGACTGATTTTTTCATTTCATCACAGAAGATTTTGCTAAAAATAATCTGAGATGTAAGTAATTTATTATTAAATTCAATATAGAAAAATATAGCAAAGTAGGAGACACTGTGGATTAATAAATTTATCATTCACAAGTTTATGTCATTTGAAGGTATTCAAAATAGTTTGCTTATGTCTTAATAGTTAGTTTTAAAAGAATAAAACTAGAATACCGATTATAAAATATCTGTTAAAATATATCCGTGTGTAATTGACAGAAACAGTAACAACAATAACAGCTTAAATCCCTTTGATCACCAAAATGTTGTGCGAGTCATATAAACATTTAGAGCGGGTGTACCTATCTTCACCCTATTGGTCGGAATAAGGTGCATGATGAAGGTGCAACCCGCTCATAATGTACAAAGTCGTAATAAGTAAAGTTATAAATTATTCATTGTACACAACTAAGACAAAAAAACTCACTTTCAGGAAAAGAGGGGTAGAACATTTTTCAAAACCTTTCAATATTATTGTTTGTTGTTCGTCTGTCAGTTTTCTTTTCTGCATTTCTAGCCACTTATTTAGAATACTTTTCACACTTGTTGTTTCAAGCACTGGAACGTCCAAATAATTTTCTGGTGTGGTGATAACTGACTGTATAAGACAAAAAACAACATTTTTTATTTTCTATACATATGTATGTACAATTTTTCAGATACTGAATAATAAGTAAATATTGTTCTTTATTTCAGTAAAATGTTGTTTCTTTTAGAGACTAAAACGGAGAGTAAAGAGTTTTGCTCTACCACAGATCAATGTTTCTAATTGAATTGGAAATACATGTATAACAATCAGCTTCTACAACATGTACTTATATATTTTTTCTTTCAATTAGCATAAACAGAGTTGCTACAAGCTGAACCAAAATCTAAAGTAATTCCTTCAAAAGAAGACATTTGATTTTTACTTCGTGAGGTTCATCTGCCCTGTCGGACGTCGGACATAGCATTGGACCTAAAAGATTTGGAATCAAACGTTCTCAGAATTTGTCATATGCCATTGAATATCTGCCATACTGCTTTTATACATGTATATGAATTTAGAAAACAGAAAAAAGCTGTTTGTACGTATAGACACTGCTCAATGAACGTTATGTAAGCACCAATAAATTGGTGATTTACAAATGTTAGGGGCCTCTGGTGCAAAACACTCGGGTAAATTGCCAATGGTATACCTGCAACGCCGGGAAACACTGGTAAATTGGCTCCGGTAATGTTGAAAGAATCACTTTTGTTGTGGGTGTTAATTTGGGAAGCAACCAAGTCATTTGTCTAGCATTGTAGGCGTGGTCTAGCTGGTCAAGTGAATCCAGGATCAGCACCAGAGGAAGGTTAGGACGACTCTCCTTCATCATCAATTCAAAGTCATTTATCTGTACCGTTATGTTCTAAAGCATGAAAGAAAGATTAAAAAATATAAACATGTAAACACACATTAAGTTTAATACTTAAAGAGAAAATATAAATTTATAAAAATGCCAATGGAATGCACGAGTGATGATGCGACTTTTGGCAATAGTGTTAATAAAAGGTCAAGATGACAGTAAAAGGTTAAGGTCATCTGTTCTAAAAAAGATTAACTAAAACTACTGGTAATTCAACATTATACTACTTTTTAAAGAGATTTCTAGTGTATCAAGCATATATTCTACAAGTTTCATACGTAAAAATAATACGCATATATGCAATACATAAAAGATATACGTCTGGTATATATTCGACATATTATATGTTATTTTGGTTTTGGAGTGATATATGTAGGTATATTACCTGTCATGATTTTTTATCCCGGCAGTTAATATATCCACATTTATCACTCCAAAATCCAAATAATAATTTCATTACCCTTTCCATGCCGAGTTAAGGGGATTTTAAAATAAATCATTGATACTTCAAATGAAACGTCGAAATAAGATTCCCTTTAGATACCCCTTCATCACTATATGACGTCACATAAATACATGACGTATTTTCTGTCGAACCTAACGAATATAAACAAGAGGAAAGGAGTAGTCTGTTGAACGCACTTTTTTGGAATTAATATCAAGCTTTCACAAAGTCATATTTGTTTTTAATACTGATGAGAATATGTATGATTACTCTATTTTGGTAAATATTTATCATTTGGCAGTTAAAAGTGCTTGTAAATCGGAATTACATCGCGTAAAATCAAACCGTACGCGCATCGCCACAGCGCATGTTGTTTAGAACGTGGGGTACCAAACGGGGAAATTTAGTTTGTATATTACCCGTCTGGCTCGGTTATATCAATTTCTCTCGGGTGATCAATATCCAATCAAAAAGGGGGAAAAATCTGGAAGGGAAATAAAGTACAAACTCTGTAGAGAAACCCTCTGTAGAGCAGTAACCACAACAACATCAGTTCTTTCAGAATTATAGCCACAAAAGAAATTAATCTCTATAATTTAAAAGCAAAACCTCTCAACAGCATCCAAAATCTTTGTCTGCCAAAGACTGTTGTTTTCACTGCGATATACTTTAAATATACGTTATATATGCCAGTATATCTTACACATATCTAATATATATTCCACGTATTTCGAACATACATGTTTATCCGATATATATTCCACATATATAGTATCCGACAATCCGACTAAATTTCAGATCTACTTATTTCTTACATATTTTTCTTAAAATGGTAAAAATTACCTACTAAGTATTGGTTTTCCAGCAGTTAAAATAAGTAACAGCATCGCTTTCAAAATTGTGAAAGCTCGCCGATGATTTGCTTTTTGAAAGATCACGAGGTGAAAACATACAGTGGTCGTCAGATCCTTATTCATAACGTTTTTAGGAGCTGATTTTAATTAGATTTTGGTATCCGACATCTATTTGGCATGATACATATGTCAAATTATATTGTCTTGTGAAATAAAAATTCAAACAAACCGTCCATTACGTCTTCCCAGACTAAGTGAAACATTTTAACAAACCTGTGTTCTTGGCAGTGGTCTAAGATTATAGACCTGTCTTATTTGAGAGCATATGCTATAAAGCAGCGACATCAAATCAGAACTGTCTGGAGATGTTCCCAAAAATCTACAATACAAAAGAGTAAAATATATTTGAAATAGCCTTTGTAAAGCAATGTTGATCGTGTAAATATGCTAAGGATAACATGACTAGAAAGTGTATGCAAATGTTAAGAGTTATCATCAGAACATTTAAATTGATTATGGAAAAGGTGGTGAGATTACATGGCAAATCCTCCTGTTCTGATTCGAGTATAAGTGTCACAGGAAAAACTGTGAAAGCAAAGCAGGTCTGAGCAAAGAATCTTTGCATTCGAAAGACTGAAACTTTTAATCATGAGGCAAGCAATTCCGGCACGTAGATGGCTCCCGCCAAAATATTTAAACCTAGTGTCCGGACTCAGATACTTTAACCTATCTTTCGTTAGAAGAATCTCGATAAAGCAGACAACCCCTGCGTTGAGACGTACATATTTTTAACCATGTGAAAAGCGTTAAGGCCTCAACAGACGGTAGGATTTTGAAGTACAACACCAATTAAAACTAAGATGTACAGGCAAATCTTAATGTGTGAATGCTACTATCTCTTGAATTCGGAAACCTTAAGTCTAGATGCAAAGGGATAGGACATGTTCTATTTTGAAAATCATGTCGTAAAGATTTGTACAGACCTCCCACAATGTCAAGTAATAGATTACCAAATTATCTCCTGATAAATGGTGTAATGATTGAAATTCGAGAACAATTAGGGCTAAAAGGTAAACATAGTAGTAAGATGGGGTAAAACGATGTTGAAAAACTCTTCAGGAGACCCAAAGTTGTGGTATTTCCGAATCCAAAATTGTTCCGAAAATGATTATGTCACGGTATTGAACTGTTCTCTAATTAGGGGAGGTGAGGTTGTTTGTAGGCGTCCGGATAGCTGAGTCAGTAGAGCCGCAGTACGGTATTCCAAGGGTCATAGGTTTGAGTCTCGGTCAGGCTTCACATTAAATCTTTTTTTAATGGAGGTGATTCAATCATTACTCATGGCGAAAAAAGTATTTAGACTTAGTGTGTTAAGTATATAAAGGATCAATGTAAAGGGATGATTCCTACAGTGTAGAATTACCGTCTGAATGCAAGTGTGAAAACTTTACATCTTATCATTAATTAGTGTTGTACAACTAAATCCTACCGTCTGTTGAGGCCTTTACCCTTTTTAGTAACATTGCCCATCAATACACTCGCGTCCTGTGTTAAGGCGAAGAACTCTTTAAACATGAGTCTTTCTTTTTTACCTCAAAATGATAACAGGCGGTGTACTCATCCACGATCTAACCATCTCAGCAGCTTTGGCGAGTATAGAGGTTTTTCCGGTACCACTGGTTCCGTGTAACACTAGCGGCTGGTTGCCTCCTGCACCGGAACTTGTCACGTAGCTTTTGATTTTCTGGAAATGATCAATAGTAATATCTATTTTACAAGTACATTTTGTATTAGCGTTTCAAAAAATGCTTTGAATCGCCGGTCAGCCTTGAATATAGATATTATAATTCATTGTTTTGCCATATACCTTTATTGTATGCGGTTAACACATATATCCAACACAAATACTAGGTTTACTCTACAATTCCGTTCTAATCAAAATATTTTGACGTGCTAATCTAGAGTCTCATTTATTTTTGTACAGAAAAATATCACAATAAAAGCTTAGTATAATTATTTGGACTACATACGCTACTTAATAAGTGCATCAATCGGCAAAAATAATAATTAAGCTACTAAGTTACTAGCTTCACATCAAAATTGATGTATGTGTATGTTTTGATTCATGCATTCTATAAATGGAATTTAAGTTCTATACACCGTCGACTGCTTTGTTTTTTAACGGACTTTAACTGACCTGCTATATTATAGGTATGATGCAATGGAAACTCTCATAGTATTAAACTCACCCGTAAGGAAGCATTGATCAAGTTTTTTTCCCTTTAAGTTCAAGTTTTGATAAGAAAAACAAAATATACATTTATGATATACTTTTATTTAAATTCTGGAAACAAAGTGATCCCTCGGAAGCATTAATCACAACAAAATAACCTAAGAATTGCAGACTCGGTTTGATTGAGTCTGTACATGAGGGATAATGTATAAGTGCAACATCCCTCACGCCCCCTAGCACCGGCTTGAGCGGTACTCAATTCTCAACACTTTATAGTGTTGGCATCAATGATCCCGAAGGACCAGAAAATATAACAACACTGAAGTGAAGTACGGGGCAACTTTTTACGGCTGCCACACGGCACTTGACACCTGCTGTTGTGAAGTACAAAATTCTGGAAACAAAGTGATCCCTCGGAAGCATTAATCACAACAAAATAACCTAAGAATTGCAGACTCGGTTTGATTGAGTCTGTACATGAGGGATAATGTATAAGTGCAACATCCCTCACGCCCCCTAGCACCGGCTTGAGCGGTACTCAATTCTCAACACTTTATAGTGTTGGCATCAATGATCCCGAAGGACCAGAAAATATAACAACACTGAAGTCTTTAATCAGAAACGACATACAGCAAGAATATATTGCAATTTGCTGTGTTTATCCCGCAAGAGCCTAAAGACTGGTACTGAGTTCGAACATTGATAGTATTATTTTCTCGAACGAAGTACAATGTACGTTCATTATCAGTTTGATTTCCTGTAAAATTGACAGGGAAGGACTTAATATAAGAAGAATTTTCATTGGTCATTTTAAACTTACAAACTGATTTCGGAGAATCTTATTTGTCTTTCCAAAATAAAAAGTAAAAAAGATAGTTATGAACATTCTAAAATAACATGTGAAGGATAGTGTTTACCATTAAAAAAAAATTAAGAATAGGTCTAAAATAAAATGTACAGAAATGAGGATAGTTCTAAATCTTTTAGGTTAATTTTTAAATTATTACAAAAAGTCATTCATAAAACAAGTAAAAGGGACACCTAAAATAGAAATTGTCCTATTTTGAAAAAAAACATCAATATCATTATGATATAATTTAATTTCAATGTTTACAAAATGGATATTTTCTTAGCTACAAGAAATAATTATCATGTCATTGTTATGCAAGGATTGCTTACATTTCTTTTTTTGTATTGAAAACTAATAACTAACCTAATTTTGCATGTTAACTAATTACTTCGACAGAATATCTTTTTTAAAGATATTTCTGTTAAGCTGTACGAATGGGCGAGCCCCTTTACGCACCCATTTTTGACGTCCATTTTGTTATCATGTGATATTAAATCATTCGATTTAATAGGCTGAACACAGGCGGTGTACAGGTAGGATTATTCAAATCTTGTTAATTGTATATATCGTCATTCAGGAACGGCGATAATAATAAATGCATAAATCCACGGAAACAAAATCACAGACTTTTACGTAAATAATGTGTTTTCGCGACAGAGTAATATTTATTTAAAATGAAATCACTTCATGGCTTAGTAACATTTCCTTGCACTCATTAAATCAGAAAGTCAGCTGTTATAATGTATCATAATAAATCGATCGTTTGTACGTGAAAATCGTGCAGAAAAACCCATTCATTTTACCTCTAATGTTTCTTCTCTTCCAGTAAAACCTTCACATTTGGATTGACAGAATCGAATGTGTTGAAGGCACTCCTCTTTCAGAGGATCGGTGATGTTTTCTTTTTCTGCTACAGACTTTTCCACCATGCCAATCATGTGTTGCACAAAGTCGTCGCACATTGATTCTAAGTACTTTTTGTGCTCTTCCGACGAATTTGGATCAATACCTTAATACAACATTAACAATAAACAATTATCTATAAATTCATACACCTTTAATGATGGGAAAAGTGTATCTTATTCATTTCCTTTCCAGCACTCACGTGACTTTTTAATGAGGCAATGTTGACCCGCTGATGTACGCGTCAACCCTTGTTAACAATGTATTGTTTATAATCATTAAATTTATAAAATATATCTAAATCAAACTTATTTTCGAATAAACAGTTGTGGTCCAGTACAATTACAATCATTCTTGCCAGTTCAATCATTATCATTTAAGGTGGAAATTATATTGAGACTTTCAAGAAAAATGAAAGTTAATCAACTAAAACACTGAATTTTTTTAATCGCCTACAGGTTTTGTGTAAAGATTAGGCCATCATTACAAGTTAAACACAGTAACATTCGCCCGAACAATGCGTGTGGAATTGTTTGAATTGATATGTATGAGGTGTTTTGGGGCATTTTAAAGTATTGTTTATACTAACGTTATACAAAATGGCCATATCCATGATATTCATGCCATTGAAATATAGTCAATTTTATTGCTATTTACGATTTTCCGTTCAAAGAAATCGCCAGCAGTATTGTATTTTAATATTGTCTGGTGAGTATTGTTCACTTTTGAACTGAGCATTGTGTGATTAACAATGATAATGATTATTTTTTACTGTGTTAGTAGTAATCAGTGAGTTATCTTTAGTCATACAGTGTTACCACTACATCACAGGACCCGCTCTGATTTATGCCTGGGTGCCAGATGAGTCGCGTGCTGTACAATGGCAAGTAAAGGATGACGTAATTTTACCGTAATGAATGGAGTTGTAACTTCATACGCTGTTGAAATAAAATTACGTGAGTTACGGGTGAAATGACAAAATTGCCATGGACAATTGTTTAAATTAGGTAAAGAGTTTAAAATATAATGGAATATGGAATATTATGCAAGAAAAAATATTTAGCTTACGTTTGCAGTTCGGAATGGAATATCCGTCCCTCGGCAACCCGCCCATGGGTGGTAACTTGGCAAACCTCGTAACCGTCCAATAGGCGGGTCCCCTCGGGACGGATATTCCGATCCGAACCGCAAACATATGTCAGATATTATAATCTAAAATGAAAAGGAAACTAGTATCATAAGTAAAAAACTACCCTTTGAAGCGTTAAGTATTACAATTAAATGTTCATGTACTTGTATGTCATTTTACTTTTGGAAACAATATCATTTGTTATTTTTCATCGGATCTATATTTTATTCATTTTATTAGGTTAAAGCAACTGATATTAATACCGGACCCGAAGAAGGGTCTGTTCCTTTATTAGCCCCATGTTTGGTAAAACATCTGCTCCAAAATACGGACGATAGTAGTCCGATGTTGGCTGAAAATTTCATTTCTCAACTTACAATTGTTTATGACCGGTAAATGAACCGCAGTATTTTTCTTTAATGCACCACTTACGCATTTTCTTTCATTTTCATTAGTTAACCACTCACGCATTTTTTTTTGATGAACCATTTACGCATTGTCTTTTATTTTCTTTAATGCATCACTTACGTATTTTCTTTCAGTTTCTTTAATGCACCACTTACGCATTTTCTTTAATGAACCACTTACGCATTTTCTTTAAAGATCAAATCCAACAAGGGAGTAGGATCATTTCTTGTGATGAAATCATCCAGCTAGAATATCAGAGGTCAACAGTTTTGCTATTTTTCGATTAAGTCGTTCTTTCTAGTCCCAGATATTAGAGCAAATCGGCTTTAAATAAAAAATTCTGTCAACATGTCTAGAAAGAACCTTATGATAATTTTGTTAAAATGAGGGTCTATTAAATTTTCAAAACGAAATTCGGACTTATAAATATTGACTACTTTAATTAGTATTGCTTTGACCGATCATTATTGCATTACCAGTAGCACTCCATTTGACGCTGTAATTAAGAATTTTTGTAGGGTCTAGAGATTTTTTCAATTTATCCTCCTTTAATTCCTTCAACATTTGCCTAGCTCTTTGGACCTTTTCTTCTGGACCAGTACATTCTGAAAATATAATTAAATTATAATATTTAATGGTTGATTGATTGATTTATTCATCGATTTATTAATTGATTGATTCATTGAGTATCCACCGTTACATTGATAGGATTATAATTTGGCTTTTTCCGTTCGTCCGTCATGCTGCCCATAAGAAGACAATGCATTATCACCTAAAGGGCACTCATTATTATTGCCAGTTGCACTCTTCACTATAACCTGTAACACTCTTTACTTTAGCCTGTGACACTCATCATAATTGTCAGTGACACTCAGCAATTTTACCCGTGACACTCATCACTTTTACCCTTGGCACTCATAATTATTGTCAGTGGCACCACACCTTAATTCCAGATGCACTCATCAATATTACCAGTGACACTCATCATTATTCAATAGTGCCAGTGACACTCTTTCCACTACAACCTTTGGCACTCATCATTATTAATAGTAGCACTCTTCAATTTAGCCTGTTTAAGAAAGAAAGGAAAAGCATGTTTGTTCTAGAATACTATGAGGTAACTATACATTGTTGAGTACAATACAGAATTCTACGCATCGTCTAATATAGGTTTTTAAGCTATGTACGAGTCTTAAATAAAATTTAGTTATAAATTTTAAAAAAACCCAAAACAACACCTTTTTTTTTTAAAAAACTACTTTTTTATAAAATTTTAGGGGTTTTCATATTCTGTTACAAAAGCGTTTTGGAAAAAACCAAATTTTTTTAAAAAATCGTCTTTTATACAAATGTAAAAAAATAACTGCACAAAATTTAACCAAACACAAGTTACAGATACCTGAAATTTTTCCCTAAACTTGACAAATTAAAAATATCCTAAACCAAAAATTTTGGAAAAATTTAATAGGGGGTATAACTAACCTATATATTTTAAAACAGATTGTATAGAAATACTGAAACCTAATTTTTTGAAAAATTTAAAGAGGTTAACAAAATCCCTGTATATTTCAGGGATTGCAAAAAAGAAAACTGTTTTAAATATATTTTAAACAGCTTGCACATAATTTAAAATGTACCTATATATCTTGACAGATTGCACAAAAGTGTACTGTACCTATATATCTTGACAGATTGCACAGAAGTATACGGTACCTATATATCTTGACAGATTACACATAAGTTTACTGTACCTATATATCTTGACAGAGTGCACAAAAGTATACTGTACCTATATATCTTGACAGATTACACAGAGGTATACTGTACCTACATATATATCTTGGCAGATTGCACATAAATTTAGTGTACCTATATATCTTGACAAATTTTACAGATATATATCTTGACAGATTGCAAAGACATGTACTTTACGTGTAAGCTTTTACAGATTGCACTGAAGTATACTGTACCTATATATCTTGACAGAGCGTAACTGCTTTCTTGTTTCTCAATGTCTTCGATAATTCTATTCAGCCAGAGAAAATGATCTTTCGCCATATTGGGTTTAAGCCCTTCTTCTGTCTCCGTTTCCGTTACTACAATAATAAATTTTAAGTCGAACTTATTGATTATTTCGACATATCTGGATTGATAATTGTATAAAATGAACTTATACCTATATGCGTCTGCATAAAACAAACAAAGGTCAAATAATATATTAATATCTCCCTGAATGCTTTCTAATCAAAACGTTGGCATAACAAGGAAATAAAGTATACAAATTTTGAAATTGAATTGAATTTTTAAAAGCATTTGGAAAATGCAATCTAGTGGTTAACGTATTTGTTTATAAACCTTCGGAAGGTACCTCTTGGATAATGACCATGTTTTTTTATATAATGATATTACAACTGGTAAAATTCAGAAAGCAACATAAGATTCCGGTTGAACACCACAGAAGCCGGTGCTAGGGGGCGTGAGGGATAATGCAATTTTCCATTATCACTCATGAACTAGGTGAGTCTGCAATTTTCATGTAATTTTGTCGTTATTTATTTTGTCCAGGGTTTTTTGAATTTTATAGATTTTATTTGGCTTTACAATCGAGCTAGAGTTGGGAATTAAAAACTAAATTTTCAGTGTACTTATTATTTTGAATATAAATTTACGTTGCATTTTGTTTAGAAGGTGAAAGCTTAGATCCCTTTGAATATTGTCACAGAAATAATGTACCAAAAACGGAGATTAACGGGAAGCATGTCAATTCCCTTAAAGGGATGTAAATTTCTAATAATTGACCAGACGTAATGTATTGTCGGCAGTTTCCTTATCAAGAGGATTTTCTGGCGGGTTTCTGATTCAGGGTTTTCTGTGCATGATTTGACTCTCTTCCCCAAACCATGTGATGTGCTTGCCACCTTCCCTTCCCTCTTCTTCGCTGAAAATATCAGGTATATTGTTTGCTAATTGGAACAGCAGTAATATATGCGGGGGTACGATTTATCGCCTTCCTAAGCCATCTATTTTGTGAATGACAATTATAAAAAAACATTTAGAGCCTTTTTAGATCTAATTTACATCAATCGAACACGGCCTGTGTCTTAAGTCTTCTTTTCATTTATGACACGACATTATTGCACAACGGGATTATTCCGCCTTTCATACACTTGCACAACTTGCAGAAGCAGGGTCTTTTTTTTTTATAGAAGTAGATATTTGTAAGACCAAGGCTAAAGTGAGACAATACCGAGTGTATTTCTCACCAAAGAAAACGAATGGTTAAGACTTACCAATTAAGCGCTGATCCCGCAGGTGCATGTTTGTACATTCCAGACATCAAAAGCATTTGACGGTACGAATTATTAGGTAAGATGAATTATTGTGCATTACGTAAATATTAAGGACATTTGTTAATATTTTTGAGCGACTGACCTTCCATATGCTTTTTTACAATGTTAACCAACACTATCGACCTCGTTTTCAGTCGTCATAGTTTCTGAATGTACTTACTTTTGAAATAGATCTTTTGCTCCTTTAGCCTCGACATTATTAAATATTTTTCTCAAATTCTCCAGACTCTATCACTCTTGGGAATGGTGTATACCCGTACTTGTGGGAGAGAAGAGACTGAAAATAAGCAACAATGTATGCATATATTGTTTATGTTATGTCAATGTATTTATCTAATGTGTATATAATGTTATAGATATGTTTTTATGCTTATACACTGTTCTGATGTATTTTATCACTCTTGGGAATGGTGTATGTCCGTACTTGAGGGAGAGAAGAGACTGAAAATAATCAGCAATCTATTTGAATGCATAAGACAGAGGTGTACAACTAATTTTTATAACTTTCAATAGTTACAGAAATTGTGCATATTGATTATCAAGTTGCATATAGCATCTGCATGTTATTAACAATATCGTCTCTTTTGCAAATGTCTGTTCCCATTTTTTTCTGTTGTTTTTTAATTTCAGCACAAAATGAAAATGAGTTTTTTATGTTGTTGTTGTTGTTTGGGTTTCTTTATTTCTTGTCTTTTGTTTGGTTGTTGTTGTTATTTTGTGTTGTTGTTTTTTGTTGCTGTTGCTGTTGATGTTTTTTAATTTAATTAATTTAATTCATTTTTTTTTATTTATTAATTTTTGTTTGTTTGTGTTTCTTGTTGTTGTTAATTTTATCAAAAATAAAAGCGCTTACAACAAAGTTTGGTCCAGTTGAGAGTTTCTGGCACAGTTTCAACTCTTTGAGGCAAAGTTCCGTTGTCATGTGATCGTCAGTAGCCTCGTCTCGGATCCCCCACCTCATGTCTACCACTTGAAATTCGTAACCTATTTTCCGGCAATACTCCTTTAGTTTGGGGTAGGCAAACTTCATCAACATGTTTCTCTCTTGTTTTGTATCTAAAACATTTTTTACAAAATACACTTCTTGATACAAATATATCAAATATCGTTAATATGACAGATTACATATCTCAGCTCCTGTACTGTGAGAATAATACACTGTAAGTTTTTCGAAAAAAATGTACAGTACGAAGCGAATATGTGTCTCCATTTATAGAGGTGAAATAAATATTATAAGTAGTGAATTATAAGATGGAATAATAACTTATGTTTTATAGCAAAGTGGTAAATTTAAAGATTAATTTTATACTCAAATGAGCAATTTATTTGTAATCATTTCTTTTATAAATGTACATAAATCTTGAAAAAGTTCTGCGACAGAAATGACCTGTAAATGTACTGCTGGTAAAGATACGGATAATTTTCGCTTGTGATGGACATTCCATGTCAATGCGACCAACAATAGCCTTTGCCTGCAATACATCTTCTGGACACACTTTTGCTTCTTCCTTCTGAAATTTAAAACAAGGGTGCCATAGTCACAAAATACGCCCGTTTACGAAAGCTTTAGATGGAGATGGGGGCATTATGGATAAGTGTTATCTAGCAAGCAAGTTTTTATCCTTGGCACTGTGTTGTTAAATGAACCTTAAAACAAATCAGTAGGGAAGATATGCACAGGATGTGTGACCTTGACCTTGGTCGCAGGGACCTGAATTTTATGCACGGCACTCAGCCTCACAATGATGAACATTTGTGCCAAATTATATTGAAATCCCTCTATGCATGTAGAAGTTTTGCTCCAGACAAGCGTTTTGCTATGAGCTCTAACTGTGACCTTCACCTTTGACCTAGAGACTTGGTTCATGTGCAGGGCACTACGTCTCATGGTGGTGGACCATTCTATCAAGTAACATTAAAATTCCTCCATGCATGTAGAAAATATGCTCCGGACAACATCTGGATATTTAATCATCTCCAGTAATATTATCCTAAATTAAATGTGTCACACCTGTAGTCATGATTGTTACCATTTGTGCTACAATCCATCAATAAATGATGACAAAATGGTCCATATACACATCTTCATATTTTTATCTGAAATTTGACCTCTATGTGTGGCCTTGACCTTGGCTGCAGGGACCTGAATTTTGTGCGCGACACTCCGCCTCACAATGGTGAACATTTGTGCCAAGTTATATTTAAATCCCTCTATGCATGTGGAAGTTTTGCTCCGGACAAGCGTTTTTCAATGAGCTCTAAGTGTGACCTTGACCTTTGACCTAGAGACCTAGTTCATGTGCGTGACATGGCTTCTCATAATGCTGAACATTTCAATGAAATTTCATTAAAATCCCTCCATGCGTGTAGGAGATATGCTCCGGACAAAATCTGGATATTTCATCATCTTTAGTGACCTTGACCTTGTATATATTGACCTTAATTATATGTATCACAGCCATAGTCTTGATAATGACCATTTGTGTTACAATCCCTCAATAAATGATGACTAAATGGTCCATATACACATCTTCATATTTTTATTTGAACTTTGACCTCTATGTGTGACCTTGACCTTGGCCGGCAAGGACCTGAATCTTGCGCGTGACACTCAGCCTCACAATGGTGAACATTTGTGCCAAGTAATATTGAAATCCCTCTATACATGTGGAAGTTTTGCTCCGGACAAGCATTTTTCAATGAGCTCTAAGTGTGAGCTTGACCTTTGACCTAGAGACCTGGTTCATGTGCGCGACACTGCTCCTCATAGTGGTGAACATTTCTATGAAGTTTCATTAAAATCCCTCCATACATGTAGGAGATATGCTCCGGACAAAATCTGGAGATTTCATCATTTTTAGTGACCTTGACCTTGTATATATTGACCTAAATTATATGTATCACAGCCATAGTCTTGATAATGACCATTTGTGTTACAATCCCTCAATAAAATGATGACTAAATGGTCCATATACACATCTTCATATTTTTATCTGAACTTTGACCTCTATTGTGTGACCTTGACCTTGGCCGCAAGGACCTGATCTTGCGCGCGACACTCCGCCTCACAATGGTGAACATTTGTGCCAAGTAATATTGAAATCCCTCTATACATGTGGAAGTTTTGCCGGACAAGCATTTTTCAATGAGCTCTAAGTGTGACCTTGACCTTTGACCTAGAGACCTGGTTCATGTGCGCGACACTGCTCCTCATAGTGGTGAACATTTCTATGAAGTTGCATTAAAATCCCTCCATACATGTAGGAGATATGCTCCGGACAAAATTGGACGCCGCTCGAAACCGCCCGCCCGCCAGGGGCGTTCCCATAATACGTCCCGTTTTTCAAACGGGCGTATAAAAAGTCCTTCCCAATCAGATAAATCCCAACACATATACAAGGAAAATTTCCCGAAAGATGATGAATGGTCTGACTCAAAGACAATTCAAGTTATTAAGTACGGTGTCCAGTGAGGGTCATCGTGACATGCAACACGAAAATACGATGGTAAAAAGTCGATAAAACGAAATCCCGATGGTGAAAAGCCGAATGTTCGCTGGTGAAAATTTTAAAGCACGTTGATGAAAATGGTGAAAAGTCGAAAGAACAAAAATACCATGGTGAAAAGCTGAAGGTTGGGTGATGAAATGTTAAAAGTACAATAGCGAAAAGTCGAAATAACGAAACAACGATGTTGAAAGCTATACATATAATTTCTTGTTTCACCATAGTAGTTTCGTGTTTTTGTTGTTTCAAGGTATGTGTATGTCGCGATTAAGCGCGATAAGAGTATAAATGTTTTGGGTTAATTTTTTCTGACAAAAATGAAACATAAATGTTGTCGCATGTTTCCTCCAATCATTCTTGAAGATATGGTCAGAAAACATTAACCCAAACCTTTTTTACTCTTATCCCGCCATAGTGAAACATTCGACCGATGCGCAGGGGAGTAAATAAAATCCGAAACGTGATTTATTTTGGCATAAAATATATTTGTGCTTGTACGCAATTTTTACCCTTATTAGCGATCACGTTTACGTTACATCTTTTGTCAGAAATAATTTGGTTAGGTAAGAGAACATAAATTTTATGTGAGTGAACAGGTCAAAATGAAAATATTATTTTTTTGCTAATTAAATAATTACTAAAAACAATAAATTACATATCTTTTTACATAGAGCTTGCTTAATATGTGCTTTAAAAAAATGGTCCCATGTTATACAAATGAGTGCCGTAACAACAAAATCGTGTGCAATACTTTGATAAATCTGGCGCATTTCATTATCTCGTTACTTCGTGGGCATTTGCTTTTCTAACGCATCCATACTATATACTAATTTCTATATTTATTCGTTGCTGAAACTTGTACTTGACAGGAATGAACAATGTATAATTTCTCCAGAGTCGGACCATATTCTGTATTTCGACTTTTAAACGTAATGTCAAAACAAGTCATTTTGACGACACGATCATTAGACGTTACATTGTGCGTAACGTCATTGTAAGCATGCATGTATCGAGGAATACTAAGTGGCAATGTTCATCTAGCGGCACTTGTTCATGTTAGTTGTATACAATTTTTATTCTTGGTCTGATTGTGTTAGGAAGCTATTATCTTATTGGTCACTATTCGACTCCGTTCTTGAACCAATCATTACTCACAATGCAATGCATAAAAGTTTCGTAGCTCTAGAAACAATAAGGCCTGCCCCTGACGGTTCTTGGTACCACGCCCGACCAGACATCATTTAATTTATTAAGTTCCAATGGTAACGCTCGGCCACGCCGGCAAACTTGTAATGTTTGATGATGTGATAGTAGATATCTCCTCTACACACGAATACATTATCTGATGTCATTACAAATACGTTAATAAGCTTATTTCACAAAGTGTCCTTATTATATATTTTCGTAACCTTTTTGCATAGTTGTCGTCGTTTCCTTTATGCTTCATTCTGCTCAGCTTGCTCTGAAAATGAAAAATGAAATAAAACTCCAATAATGATGAATATTATATTAAAAGGTTTTAAACTAGTCCGACAACGTCACTTTTCATGTGCATCAATACAGAGTGTGTAACCTTTGTAAGTAAGGAATGAATGTTATTTAAATATCCTCTATTTTGTTGATATTATGATTTAAAAAAAAAACAATGTTTGATAGTCAGAAGCCTTATCCGAAGATTGACAGAAAGTGACCGAAATGTTGCGATTGATTAGTGCTGGCATCAATGATCCCGACGGACCAGAAAAATATAACAACACTTAAGTGAAGTACGAGGCAACTTTTACAGCTGCAACACAACACTTGACCCCTGCTGTTGTGAAGTAAAAAGTTCTTGAAACAAAGTGATCCCTCGGAAGCATCAATCACAACAAAACCAAAAGAGAACTGCAGACTCGGTTTGATTGAGTCTGTACATGAGGGATAATGTAAAGTGCAACATCCCTCACTCCCCCTAGCACCGGCTTGACCGGTACTCAATTCTCAACGCTTAATAGTGTTGGCTAAAGTTTTCATATTGAGTTATTCTGAATTTCTTACTGTTCCTACTGACTATTTCACTGCACAGACATGCATGTGCCTATGCCATATTCAAATAAGGACAAGTTAGTTCAGAGGAATCAAATACTCATTTTAGCTCGACTATTCGATAAGAATAAGTAGAGCTATTGTAGTCACCCGAGCGTCGGCGTAACCACTTATATTAAAGTTTTTGTAATACCTTAAATTTTTTCAAAGTCCATTGACATATGGCTTTGAAACTTTGCACACTTGTTCACCATCATGACCCCAACCTGTAGACAGGAGGAGGTATTTGTATCAAGCATTTTGACAGAATTATGTCCTTTTTTCAACTTAGGATTTACGTTAAAATTTTTGTAATACCTCAAATATTTTCAAAGGCCATTGACATATGGCTTCGAAACTTTACACACTTGTCCACCATCATGGCCCAACCTGTAGACAGGAGTAAGTAACTGTATCAATCATTTTGAGAGAATAATGCCCCTTTTTCGACTTAAAATTTCCGTTAATGTTTTTGTAATACCTCAAATATTTTCAAAGTCCATTGACATATGGCTTTGAAACTTTACACACTTGTTAACCATCATAACCCCAACCTGTAGACAGGAAAAGGTAACTGCATTAAGCATTTTTACAGAATTTTGCCCCTCTTTCGACTGAAATTTATGTTAAAGTTTATCTCTTACCTAACGTGTGCTTATTTGGATATTATAAAGGCACAGAGCTGTGCCGGGTAAACAGAAGACAGCAAAAAATGTGGAAAAAGTGGGATCAATCGGAAGTATTAATGATTTGACTGGATTTTGGTGGGGGCTGCAATCCGTGAACGTTGCTTTGCCTTGTTGATTTTTGTTCTCACTTTTTGTGACCTTAACTGCATTCCTTGAGGGCTCACTTGTGATTAGAACGCTCTAAAATGCCTACCACCTCGAGTGATCTGAGCTTATTGCATTCTCTCAGGAGAACCCATTTAACTCCATTCCAACTGGCTATCATCGTGGGTTAACTTGCGATTAGAAACTATTGAATGGTGTAACACCACGGGATGTGTGACATTTTCACGATTCCTTTAGGCTACCAACGTGGGATCACTAGCGATATGAATCCAGTAAAAACCCAATCATTGTGTGTTGTTTGAGCTAAAGTGCATTCCCGCAGGCTGTCATCGTGGGTTTTTTTTGCGATAAAATACCTCTTAATGGCCTATCACCGCATGTTTTGTGAACTTGACTGCATTTCCTTAGATCATCGGAAAAAGATTTTCGGTAAGAAGGCCAATCACCGTGGGTTGTGTAACGTTTACTGCATTTCTCAAGGCTATCATCGTGGGTTTACTTGCGATAAGAATAATCTAAAAGGCCTATCATCGTGGGTTGTGTGACTTTAACTGCATTCCCACTGGCTATCATCGTTGGTTAACTTGCGATTAGAAACTTTT